ACGCGGATGGAAGCCATAACGACAGTACGGCAGAGCAACGCAAGCTACCACAGCAGGGGCGGGCAATTGCGCACGGGCAGGGAGCAGCAGGCGGCGCTGCAAGCGGGCAGCGCGGCGGACGGGCGGCTCTGCAAGTGGGCAGCGCGGCAGGCAGGCGGCGCTGCAGGCGGGCAGCGCGACAGGCGGGCGACTCCGCAAGCGGGCAGCACGGCGGGCGGGCGGGCAGCGCGACGGACGGCGTGGGGCAAAGCGGGCGGCGCGCGGGGCTGCAAGGCAGCTCGACGGGCTGCGCGGGGCAGAGCGGGCGGCGCGCGGGGCTGCAGAGCCGAGCGACGAGCAGCGCGGGGCAGGGCGGGCGGGTCGCGGGGCTGCGCAGCAGATCGACGGGCGGCTCGGGGCACAGCGGGCGGTGCGCGGGGCTGCGAGGCAGCGCGACGGGCAGCGCGGGGCAGAGCGGGCGGCGCGACGGGCAAAGCAGGGGAGGCGCGCGGGGCTCTGGGCTGGCAGGACGCCGGTCGGCAGGGCGCACGAGGGCGCTACAAAGGGCGCTACGAGGGCGCTAGAGCGCAACGAGGGCGCTACGAGGGTAGGGCGCGGGGGTAACGCGGTAACCGCAGCGTGCGGTGGTGGGCCAAACACACAGGGAAGCGTGCGGGAGGAGAGCTTGTCCGCGGACGTATCGCGGACAAGGGCACGAGCACCCCACACCCGGAAGCGCGACGCATCGCCAACCTCCCCCGTCCAACGCAGTGTGGGCGAGGTCTCCGGCAAGGAGACACGGGGCCAGAGGTTGAGCTGATGCGCGGCGTACCGGACAGCAAACGGCCACAGAAAATGGGGAGCCGCCGCATGGACCAAGGAGGTACGAGCGACCTCCATGACCAGGCCAATGCGGCGCTCAGCAACCCCATTCTGCTGTGGGGAGTCCGGAAGCGTGAAGGTCTGCTCGATGCCCTCCGCCTGACAGAAGGTCCTCAAGAGGTCGGAGGAGAACTCACCACCTCTGTCAGAGTGCAGACGCAGGACAGGAAGATCTGTCCGGAAACGGCGGCGGAGCTGGAGACGAACTGTGCGGATCCAAGGGATCAGAACAGCAGGGACCTCACCCTTGGTGCGCAAGGGGAAGACCGTGGTGTAACGCGAGTAGTCGTCGACAACCAGCAAAAAGTACCGCTCACCGCCCTGGCCACGAACGCGGGCTGGGCCCCACACGTCCAGGTGGAGGGTCTGCAGAGGAGCCTCTGTCGGGGGGAACGAGGAGGAGTGAGGAGCGGCGCGCTGCCGCCCCTCGACGCAAGGAAGGCAAGGCGGCGCAGGCGAGGCAGGGAGGGGAGGGAGGGACCTGGGAAGACCAGACACAAGGTGGCGACGGTGCATGCCACGGAGGCGTGGCAAGGAGGGGTGGCCCAGGCGGTGGTGCCAGAGAAGAGTCTGGTGCGACAGGGAACGACACTCACAGGCGTGGGCTACCAGACCTGACGCGGACACCTGACCGACAGCAGCGACCTGAGGAGACGCAGTGGACAGTGTGTAGAGACTCGACCCCGGCTGACGGGTAAACGTAGCCAGGTGACGGCCAGTCCTGGAGCACGTGAGGATCGCCACACGCTGTCCTCCAGGAGTAAAGGTGTCAACCCACTGATCCTGGATGACAGCGTTGCTCACCAGGTTCGTCGAGAACGAGGGGAGGTGGAAACCCGACAACGAGCCAGACGGAACCGCCGGACACGGGAGCACAGTGGTGGACCGTGCAAGGACTGGGCCCCCCGAGGGGTCAGCCAAGGAGACTGGGACCGGTGCAGGAAGTGGAGTGAGCTCAGTACTGTCACGAAAGAAACAGCGGGAAGCACCTGAGTCAAGGGTGAAGGTGTGCAAGGCCTCAGCCGGTGCAGTACCTGAGAGAGCAGTCTCTGTGGGTGCTGTACCTGAGAGAGCAGACTCACAAGCAGTAGGGACAGTACTGGAGGGAGCAGCCACAGAGGGCACCAGACCAGAGAGAGCAGACTCACTAGTACCCAGGGCAGCGGGCTCTATACCTGGGTCAGGCGGCACACACAAGTAACAGTCTCCCTCGGCACTAACAGTCAATGCATACATGGCAGCAATAATAGCATCATAGTCAAGAGCAAAGATATCAACACCAGCCCTCATCAGCTCAGCCCAGCGGGGGCGCTCAACATCCTCGCCCATCTCCTCACGCCAAGCGTCGTCAAGGCGGGAGAAGCAGCGGTACGGGGTGTGGAACCTCCCACACGTCTGTCCCTTGCGGTCACCTGTGCGAATGACATAGGAACAGCGGCCACTGCCCCCCGACGTCCCACGCTGAGCAAGCCACTCACGAAGCTGCTGGGTCGTCTGGGGACGCTGCTGCTGGTGGGAGCTCTGGCCCGAGCCAGTGCCTCCACTCCGACCTCCGCCGCCACCACTACCTCCGCTCCGACCGCCACCGCCGCCACCGCCGCCACCGCCACCGCTCCCTCCGCCGCCCCCGCCTCCGCTGCCGACCCCACTCCCACCAGCACTCCCGCCACCGCTCCCTCCAGCACCGCCTCCCCCCCCACCTCCCCCACCTCCTCCCCCCCCAGCGCCACCCCCGCCACCCTTGCCCCCCTTGCCCTTGCCGGTGCGGCGCCTCCCACCAGGAGCAGAAGCAGCGCCAGCAGACTCAGCACCAAGGAAGTCAACAGCAGCAGCAGTAGCGTAGGAGGGAGCGAGGGGAGAGGGAGAACACCCCTCAAAGATGGGGGTGCGAGGAGCGCCACGAGCAGCACCTACAGCTACAATGCTCTTCTCGGCTGCTAGCAGTTTCTCCTCTAGGAGGGCGACAGTGAGCTCAGTGGGACAGCGAGCAAGGAAATAGTCGCGCACTGAGCTAAGGGTGTCAGGGAGACGGGTGACTAGAAAGTGGAGTGTCCAGTACAGTGGAGGGGGGTTCTTAGCGCAGAACTCGGTGGGAAGGGCGGCACGCAGGCGAGCGTCACTAGTGCGAAGGTGGGTGATAAGATCGGCGACTGTAGCAAAGGTGGACAGCTCAGGGAACAGGTAAGGCAGCATACGGCGGCTAAGCTCGGCTGTGGCAGGTGAGGAATAGCGGGCAACGACAGCGTCGTACAGGGCCTTAGCGGTTTTGCAGTCGCCAAAATGCTCGAGCTCAGCTAACGGCAGGTGACTGCGAATGGCTAGGCGAGCAGCTGCGTCACGAGTCTGCCAGTGGGAACGAACACTAAGCTCTGCTGTGGCAGGAGGGGCAGGTGCAGCACCAGACGCGTAATCATAGAGCGACACATGCTCCTTGCTATCGCTCAGGAGGAACAGCTGCAGGTCATCTAGCCAAGTGGTGAACTGCACAGGGCGGCCCTCAGCATCGAACGAAAGCACGCGGATGGAAGCCATAACGACAGTACGGCAGAGCAACGCAAGCTACCACAGCAGGGGCGGGCAATTGCGCACGGGCAGGGAGCAGCAGGCGGCGCTGCAAGCGGGCAGCGCGGCGGACGGGCGGCTCTGCAAGTGGGCAGCGCGGCAGGCAGGCGGCGCTGCAGGCGGGCAGCGCGACAGGCGGGCGACTCCGCAAGCGGGCAGCACGGCGGGCGGGCGGGCAGCGCGACGGACGGCGTGGGGCAAAGCGGGCGGCGCGCGGGGCTGCAAGGCAGCTCGACGGGCTGCGCGGGGCAGAGCGGGCGGCGCGCGGGGCTGCAGAGCCGAGCGACGAGCAGCGCGGGGCAGGGCGGGCGGGTCGCGGGGCTGCGCAGCAGATCGACGGGCGGCTCGGGGCACAGCGGGCGGTGCGCGGGGCTGCGAGGCAGCGCGACGGGCAGCGCGGGGCAGAGCGGGCGGCGCGACGGGCAAAGCAGGGGAGGCGCGCGGGGCTCTGGGCTGGCAGGACGCCGGTCGGCAGGGCGCACGAGGGCGCTACAAAGGGCGCTACGAGGGCGCTAGAGCGCAACGAGGGCGCTACGAGGGTAGGGCGCGGGGGTAACGCGGTAACCGCAGCGTGCGGTGGTGGGCCCTAAAAAAAACGATCGGATGGTCCTAGGGACCACCTGCTCTGAATACCATGTCAGAATACTAGCGTGAGAATGGTGCATTGAATGAAACAGTTGGGTACAAGTAGCTAACCCTAGTTGGGGTTGTACCCCATACTGGCTACCCCACTACAGCCTACCAACATATAACAGTTTAACAGCTCAAACTCGTCTAGGTGTGTATCCACATTCGCATGGCACGTGGAGTGGGTGTGCGAGGTTGCAAATATCTGCACTTTTGGGCCTCTTGAGCCTACTTCGCTTGAGCGAACTTCCTGTGAACGCCATCTTAGCTCCCCCTCCCAAAACCACCAAATTGTAAGTACCGTGTTTGGATGCCAGTGCACAAGCAAATATGACTCATTCCACATCACCTTCTGTCACAGCTGGGTTGCATTACTGGTTAGAGCGTGTTCCTACGGCCTCCTGTCAGGTCAACCTGATATCAGCTTCAGCAAGACTCGAGATTTTCGTTATAATTCACTGATCTCATGAACAAATATTATAATATTGCGCAACTGAAGTTCCCGCGCGAGAACTTTCAGACGTGGCGCAACAGGAATCCACGTCAATCCATCATTTGAAAATGCGAGAGCGCAGCTGTGTTTTGTCGAGTATCGGGCTGCCACACCAAATTCGTGCGGATTGACTCAGTTGACTGGTTCCTTGATTTTGTTTCAAACCGAGACAGAAGAACTACAGTTCCGTACCCCAATGTTTCGTGCCACATCAGCCACGCATTTTCGCTCGCTCTCTGCAAAAGCCACCGAGAATATCATTTTAAACAGTCAGCTTAAGCCGAAATGTCAGTGATTCGTGCAAGCCTGATAATAGGTGGCCTGATAGGGGCCCGTAGGAACACGCTCTTATATTCTGCTATTTTTACTCCAACAAGCCGTACAAAATGCCTATCCAGTACACAAATCCTGCAGGTTTTATTAATGCAAGTAGCATAGCCAGGACTAGTACCACTAACTAAATAAGCTGTCTTTTGCGAAGGGAGTCCACAACACTGTCGTTCTTGGCGTCCGTGTCTAGAACCTGCAGTACCAGCCACCCAGCAACAAAAGCAACAGAGCACAACACAGTGGAGAATTACCGTAACATGCGTGGAATGGTACCTCGTCTCCAAAGAACAAAGCAAGCAGGCTTGATCAGCAACACGTTCACAGTGACACCAGAATTACCGCAATCGTCGCACGAACCATATCAATGATGCCATACTCCACAGCAGCGTCAGGTGTGAGGTATAGGGGACACCCAAGCAAAGCAGGCCTAAACACCATCATTTGCAGCACATTCACAGTGCCACATTCGTGTAGTGTCTTGCACAAACCTTACCAATGATGCAATACTCCACAGCAGCTTCAGGAGTGCGGTACAAGGGACACCCAAGAAAAGCTGGCCCACACACTGTCAGCAGCACATTCGCCGTGCCAACAGAATTACAGTAGTATCTCTCACGCACCTTGTCAATGATCCCATACTCCACAGCAGCATCAGGCGTGAGGTACAAGGGACGCCGGATGTCATGCTCGATTGTCTCCTCCGACTTGCCTGTGTGCCGCGAGTACAGCTTCACCTGGAGGAGAAATAGAGAGATGTCAAACACGGGAAAGAATGATGTTGGAGGCGAATCAGAGCTTGCCCGTGGGCCGTGAATAGAGCTTCATCTGGAAGAAGAAACGAAGATGTCAAACACACTAGGCAAAGAAGGAAAGCCCCCTGCCTATATATGTCGCATCCCTGAATGAGTTGACAATGCTAATGAAATTCATAACCATGTCTTCATGTTCCTTGCAAATGATGTCAACGTCAGTGGCCTGTAAAAGTCAGTGACCTCTCTCATTGTCCATGGTATACATATTTACACCTGTGCTCCAAGTACTCACCAATTCAGACTTCACGTTCCGCACTTCCTTGCGCATGATGTCAATGTCGGTGGCCTGCCCGCGGAACCGAGAGATGGGTTGCTTGAGCATGATGGAGGAGGATGGCAGTGCCGACCGGTTGCCCTTGGACCCAGCAGACAGCAGCAGCGCCGCCTCCCCCCACGCGTTGCCCACGCAGAGAGTGAAGATTGGCGGCTTCACGTAGCTGGGGATTGATAGAAGGGGGGATGAGGGGAGAAGGGGGAGAACACGGGGAGAGGGGGAATGATGGGAGGGCGCAGCAAGGCCAAGAGGGCACAGGAAGGCATGAAGTGCGAGAAAGGAAGGGTTCAGGCCAAGTGTGTCGAAGGGAGGGCTGAAAAAAACAGAGGGAAAGAGAGAGAGAAGGGGAGGAAGACTGACCGCATGGTGTGGGAGATCGCACATGGCAAGAGAGGGCGGGAACAGATGAGCGGGGGATACAGAAGGGAAAGAGAGAGCTGAGGCAGGAGTGAGAGGGAGGATTGACTGAACACATGGCGTGGTAGCTCGCGGTGAGAGAGGAAGGTAGGAAGGGCGAGGAGGAGTGGGCACAGAAGAAAGTGAGAGGGGGGACTGGGAGGGAGGACTGACCACATGGCGTGGTGGCGAAGGGTAAGAGGGCAGGAAGGGACGAGACGAGGATAAGGAAGGGAAACGGCTGAGAGAGGAGGGAAGACCGCATGGTGTCATAGATGGCGAAGGCCTAGAGCGCAGGAAGGGAGGAAGCGCATGGTGGATGGAAGAAGGGTGAGAGGGAGGGAGGACTGACCGCATGGTATCGTAGATGGCAAACGCTTCTGTCTCGTACCCCAGCTTCTCACCGTCCTGCAGGAGCAAGTGGGATGCACGGGCGGATCATACGGGGGGGGGGGGGGGGGGGGGGAGCCAGAGATGGTGTTACACAAAGCAGAAGCCGATTTCCAACCCCCTGAGAGCCTTGATGGAGGATGGGAAACTTAGGAGGCGCCTCAGAAAATGACGACAGGACAACCAGGGGGTGGGAGGAAAGGAGGAGACAATTGAGACGCCTCATGAAGTGCTGAGGAGGCAAGCGGAGGGGAGGGGTGGCGGGAGCTGAACTTTAGCTGTTTCTGACTAGTTACTTTGTTGTCGTACGTGCAAGTGGTGCTTTTCCAAGCTACCATCCAGCACAGGTACATTTAGTGCAGAAGCTCAGGGATACATATAAAGTCGTCTTATAACGAGGATACCCATATCAGTACCTTGGTAGTGCCAGTCGAGTTGATGTACATATAAATTGGTTTCTCAGGGCTGTCGTACTGCAGGTACAGCAGCTCCGCCATGATGAGCTCCGTGACGGAGGGCACGAGCGACATGCCGAGGAACACGATGCGGTTCTTGAAGAGGTACGAGGGGAGGTCGGGCGGCGGCTGCTGTGTCGCCTCGCCCTTTTGAAACGGAATGACCTGAAGTGGTTGGGGGGGGTGGCGGGGTGGTTGGCGGGTGGGCGGGGAGGAGGGCGGTTGAGGAGAGGAGATTGGTGAAGGGGAGATGTGGAGGAGCGGGGGAAGAACGGAAGCGGGAATCCCAAAAACGAGGTTTCGAGTAAAGTGATTCTTCGTTGTTACACGCAACGCGCAGCCGCCACTGCTGCTGAAGGTGAGGCGAGTGGGCCAGGCGGGAATGGCTATAACGAACGGCAGGGTGACTCCTACGAGCGACAATAAAAAAACACTTGACCGTTGTATTTATGCTACTTTCGAGAATTTGTAAAGGTAAAGGGCGACTATGGTGATGCATTACGCCACGTCTGGTGCCAACTCAATTCGTCAATAACGCGGATATGCAAAGCAGCTGAAGCAGCGTAACGCGCCATAGCGGCACGTAGTGAAAATTAACCTAATGCCGTGAACCTTGGGAGTAACGTGAACCTCGAGAGTCCGTGAACCTTGGGAGTGCCGCGAATCTCTAGGAACTGCGATCGGCCTTGCCGCTGACGTAACCCGTGTAGCTGTTTAGCCCTTGAAGATTATTGGACGCGGTGCTGTTTCGCGGCAAATCTTCCTGTGGTGCCAGAGATGTAACATTGCGAACACACTTTCGCAAAAGTCTGCTGGAACAAAGCAAGCACTTGTCGCGAAAGGCTAATGTAACTGTGTGCACCCATCTCGAAAGGTTAATGTACATGCTGCCACGAGGCTATTATCAACGCGATCAGCTTCTAGTGTATAAAAGGATCCGGTCGCGTGAACGCCGACAAGCCAGCTTCAGTTTCCTGTGTCGTAAGCGCGATTCGGAATTTCTTCTACTGCTTTGAGTTTCTTCTAATCACAACGCTACGCACCATCTCGACAACTCCTCTTCTTCCGCACGAATCCTCTCCCGCCACGTGTCGTGATCGCAGCACTTCCGTCGCCGAATGGAGGGTCTGACCCATCAGCTGCTTCGCGCCCACGTGGGCGCGGCTCGCCATGTGAGCATCGAGCTTAACACTCGACGCTGATCGCGGCACGGCAACAGCTGCAACCGCGCCTTTCCGCGCGCGCGAATCGGCGCGCAGCGGCGTGGCGAGTGTGTGCGGCGCAACGGAGGAACGGCACACTAGGCGATCCATGCTCTACTACCACCACACCGCCGCCGGGTGACAGGACCACGCGGAAAGGAGGCGACAAGAAGAACAGCGGACCACGCGATCTAGAGGCGCCTGATGGGAATAAGAGTCACCCACCGCCGTACTAACGACACGAGATAACTAGTTTAGGGATAAGGCAGTGGTCTAGGAGGCAAGAAGAGAGGCGGGGCCAGGTGGGTCCTGCGAAGTGCAGAAGCGTGTGCGCGGAGGGGAGAAAGGGGAATGCGGAAGCCGCGGGTGGTAAATTAGTGCGCGGAGATAGAAATTGACGCGCGGGACAAATCCCTTGAAGAGAAACAGGAGCCATTTCACATCTTCGGGCCACCGCATGGTCCACGTGGCGCGCTGGTATCGGTGGGTGATTGCTTTAGAGCTGTTTCGGTACTCTTTACAAACCCGCCAATATTTCCATAAACAGAGTAAGCACTAGAAGCCCAAAACTTCTTGCAATGGAATGCACCAGATAGTGGGTCTGTTTCCAAGATGTGTGTAAATATATTATCTACGGTATAGTAGATTCACCAAAATGGCGAAAGAACTGGAAATTCTTATATCGCCTATAATTATTATGTAAGAAACATAAACAAATAGGAAATAGACGTGCATAACATGTTTAGTGAAGAAAGTTACTGGTATTGGTGCCGTGACTGCCGCATTTGGTGCTGCTGAAACCATTGGTTTGGCTGATCCAGCGTTCCAACCACGTCCCCCTCCTCTTCCTGCAGCCTCTCACACTCATCCTCATCCTCACTCAAAGGATCCCTCCCATCAGGACCCACCATCAAGATATCCCATGTGTCAGCACTACCACCAGTGTTACTGTACATGTAACCGTTACTGTTACTGTTGCTGCTGCAGGCCTGCCCTGGAGCTGTGCTTCGTGCCTCTCCATCACCTGTTTGTGAGGGAATGTTCGCCCCTCCTCTGGCAGCTTTACCTTTGCTGAGAAGAGCCAGAGGCCGCTTGAGAAACCCCTGCTTTGTCCCTGCCTTCTTCTGCTTCTCCCCAACACTCTCCCTCTCCTCCTTGTCCTCTGAGCCATTGCACGCATTGCCTCCTTCCTCGTTTTCCTGCTCTCTCTGCTGCCGCTGAGGAGGAGAAGGGGAATCATACTGAGAGGACTGTTTCACAGAGTGCTTCTCAGCTTTCGCAAATTTACCGGTTGCCATCTTTCCAAACAGAGACAACACTGCCCCACTCTCCTTCCGAGAACCTTCCTCTGAGTCATGAGAACCAACACGAGGAAACAGCCCTTTCCTCCTCTCCTTTCCCTCCTTCCTCTCCTTCCCCTCTCTACTATCCTTCCCCTCCTTACCCTCCATCCTCTCCGTTCCCTGTCCTTCTCGCCCTTCCTCCTCCAGTTCTTCTCTGCATTCACTAGACTCACTCGATCCCGACCGAGGATATCGTTCTTTTTTCCCCTCCTTTTCCTCCTTCCACTGCTTCCCCTCCTTCCACTGCTTACCCTCCTTCCCTTCCTTCCGCTGCTTCCCCTCCTTCCCTTCCTTACAATGCTTCCCCTCTTTCCCCTCCTTCCCCTCCTTCCCCTGCCCATTTCTCCGCTCCCTCTGGTCCTCCCTCCCCTTCACACCCTCCTTCCCCGATTCCGTTGAACCGGAGTTAGAACCATCCGACCCTGACCGAGGAAAGGGCCCTCTCTTTTTTTGGTTCGACTCAAAAGACTTACTCGAGTCCGTTGACCCGGGATTAGAGCCATCCGATCCTGACCGGGGAAAGGGTGCCTTCTCGTCTTGCTTTTTCCGAGTTGACTCAAGTATCTTCCCTGAGTCCGTTGAACCGGAGTTGGAGCCATCAGATCCTGACCGGGGAAAGAGCACCTTCTTGTCTCCCCTTTTTTTACTCGACTCAGAATTTTTTCCTGAGCTTGTTGAACCGGAGTTAGAGTCCTCTGATCCTGACCGGGGAAAGGGCGCCTTCTTGTCTTTCTTGCTGGGCTTGCTGGCGCTCTTATTCTCCGACAGAAACGCATCGATTATGAAGCTCAGCTCTTCTTTCACAAAGTCGCCTTCTTTGAGTTTCGAACCGCCCTCCGCTCGAACGGGAATACTGCTCGCACTGCGCCGGATGCGGCTGCTGCTGCTGGCGCTGCCACTGCCGCTGCTGCCACTGCTGTTGCTGCCGCCACCAATGTTGCCTCCGCTGTTGCTGCTGCTGGTGCCACTAATTATGCCACTGCTGCCACTGCTGCCACCACTGCCGCTGCCACTACTGCTGCCACCACTGCTGCCACTGCTGTTGCCGTTGCTGATGCCAGCAGGGTGCCTCAGCCCCTTAGCAGTGACCATTTTCTTAAAGAGAGACGTTGCCGAGGACGAAACTTCAGACCGCGAGTTTGGGTCGGCGGTTCTTGGCCGTATGCCAGGCTGGCTCTTTGACCTGCCGTACAGTTCCTGCTTACGTTGAGCGAAATAATCATGGTCAACATGGTCAACAGGGTCAACACGGTCAACAGGGTCAACGCAATCAGCTTGGTCAACAGGATCAACAGGACTATCTTGGCCAACGGAGTCAACAGGGTCAACGTGGTCAGCAGGGTCAACCCGGTTAGTGCTTGCCTCATGCTCCTTCCTACTGTCTCCGTCAAGCCTCCCTCCGTTGTACTTCCTCCCAAGCACTTGAACACTCGCCATCCTGCCCCACACCATACCCTTTCCCTGCCCCTTGCCCTGCCCCTTCTCCTGCCCGTTCCCTTGTAAGCTCTCTCCATCCAACCCATACTGCCTGCTGCCGCTGCCAATACCATCTCTCCCCCCTCCCCTCCGCCTATCCTGCACAGTAACAGCTTTCACAAACCCTCCCTTCCCAGCCTTCCTGCCGCTGCCACCTTTCCCAATCTCCTCACACACAGCTTTTCCAACACCCCGGCCCTCGTCTTCCCCAAGGCCCCTTCCCCTATCTCCTCCATCCCTCCCTCTATCATCTTCCCCGCCCCTCCCAAGGTCTGCCAGTGCCCCCGAAAGCAGCCCCTTCCTCATAGCGCGCTCTTTCACAGTCAGGCTCTTTCCCATCTCCCCCTCCTGCCCTGCAGGGGAAGCAGCCTTACTGGTATGCACCACGTCAGTCTTGGAAGCAGCCTTACTGGTCTGAACCGCCTCAGAAGCACCAGCCTCTTTCTTCCTTTGCACTCGTGCCAAGCGGCTACCAGCAGATCCCCCAGCAGATTCGTTATTAGCTGCCCCTGGTGTGGTACAAGCTCGAACGGTGGGAGCAAGAGCCGCAGCGATTGAATCCTTGTCATCATAAGGAGTGGGATCAGGGAGGGCAGGATCACCAGGGAAGGTAGAGCTTTTCCCTGAGAGAAAACTTCCACCTGCCCGTTTGAGGCTGCCTGTCGGGTCAGCGTCGAGAAAGTCGGCAATGTCGGGGGGAATGACGACCGAGGCAAGGGGGAGGGGGGTGCCTGTGTCCAGGTGGAAGGCGAGCAGGGAGGCAGAGGGGAGGCGAGTGAGGCGGGACTTTGGCTGCGGTGGTGGCGGCGGTTGCTCCTGCTCCTGGTCCTGCTGTCGCTGCAGTAGTTGCTGCTGCCGCCCCTGCCTCTGTTCCTTCTCAGCAACCATCTCATCACCTCCCACTTCCCCCTCTCCTCCCTCCCCAAAACCTCTTTCACTCCTCCCGCCCTCATGACTCTCCCACGCACTCCGTCTTCCATTCTCGCTGCTCCTCTCGCTCCGGTCACTCCGGTCATTCTTGACACACTGGGCACTCCAGTCACTCTGGGAACCGGGAAGTGACCGGAATGACTGGACACTCTCGGCACTCTGGTCACTCTTGTCATTCTGGACGCACAGGGAACTCCAGTCCCTCTGAACACTCCCCATTGCAGAGCCACTTCCCTTCTCACTCCCACAAACAGCACCATCCGCATCTTCTCCCCCTCGCCTTTCCTCCTCCCTCTCCTGCCCCCTGACTCTATCCTCTCGTACCACACCCTTCCCTCTCCGCCCGTCCACCCCTCCCCTCATCATCACTCCTACTGCGTCCCACGCCTCTCTCACCTCCTCCACATTCGCCTTCCATTTTCCCTTTCCTCTCACCTCCTCCTCATTCGCCTTCCATTTTCCCTTTCCTCTCACCTCCTCCTCATTCGCCTTCCATTTTCCCTTTCCTCTCACCTCCTCCTCATTCGCCTTCCATTTTCCCTTTCCTCTCACCTCCTCCTCATTCGCCTTCCATTTTCCCTTTCCTCTCAACTCCTCCCCATCCACCTTCCACTTGCCATCCCCCCTCTGCCCCACCTTGCGCCCATCCCTGTCCTCCTGCCACCCCCAGCCATCCAACACTCTCTCCTCGCCAAACCCACCTCCTAAGCTTCTACTCCGCCAGCCCTTACCCCGGGCCTCGTCTCCTCTCCGGCCTTTGCTCTTGCCCTTGCTGCCCTCTCCCTCTTCCCGTCTGCTCTTATCCCTAGCGCCTTCGCTTTTTTTCCCCTGCAGTCCCTTCATCACCTGCCGTTCCTTCCGCTCCTGCCGCTTCTGCCACTCCTGCCGTTCCTGCAGCTCCTGCAGCTCCTGCCGTTCCTGCCGCTCCTGCCGCTCCTGCTGCTGTTCCTGCCGTTCCTGCCGCTCCTGCAGCTGCTGCCGGTCCTGCTGTCCCAACCTCTCCTTCTGCCCCTGCCGCCGCACAGGGGTGAAGGGTCTGGCGTTGCGACCATCACTTTCACGCTCATCCACGCCCATTCCAGCCGACTCAGTAGGCTCCTCTCCTTGCCACTCCTCAGCACCCGATCGCCCCAGAGGGATCAACGATATAGCATCTCCGGAGCCCCTTCCTTTGAAGCCCCTTCCTTTGAAGCCGCTTCCTCTGGAAAAGCGTTCACTCTCCTCCACACTGTCTTGGTCCCATTCTTCAGCTTCCTCATCTTCAAACTCCTCCTCCTCCTCGTCTTCCTCCGCGCTCTTTCCCTCTCCCATGCTCTCCATATGACTCTCAGGCTCTTTTAACCCGAGGACATAGCCCGCTGAGAAGCTTCGGACATGTCCTGGCTTCAGGCCAGGTGCGTGCCCTCGGGGCAGCTTCACGCCTTGTGCATGCCCCGAGTTCACGCCTTGTGCGTGGTCTGGGTTCTGTGCACCTCGCACGCTGGCTCGGTGGGACGAGTCTTGGCTCCCCTGCAGCATCCCTCGCTGTTGCTGCTTCCTCTGCTGCTGCCACTCCTGCTCCTGCTCCTCCTCCTCCTCCTCCTCGTCCTCCTCCTCCTCCTCCTCCTGCGGCTCACGTGACTGGTGCTGCCACAGCTGCTGCTGCTTCCCCAACTGCCACTCCCCATCATCCTCCTCCTCCATACCCTCTCCATCAAACATAAGCCGTCTCATGAGACCTCCTGTCACCTCCGCTCGCATTCGCGTCTCATCAAGCCTCCTCTCCTCCCTCGCCTCCCCATACACCACATCCCTCTCTAAGGTTCCCCTCTCCCTTCCTCCTGACTTCAGACCACCAAGAAAATCACCCAAACGACCCGAACTACTGGATCCAGGGGAACCACCACAACCACCGTACCCATAAGCATCCCCACGGCTCCCTTTCCCTCGCCCTGACCCCATCCATTCATCCTCCGTGGCAGTTTGCTCTGCTGAGTCAGACAGCTCGAGGTCCAGCATGGCAGCTGCTGCTGCTGACATCATCGCCCTCTCCTCCCCTTGCACCTCCTCCCCTCTCCAGGCCCCACTCGTGACGTCATCCACAGCATCATCCCCATAAAGATCCGAGTCGTGTAAACACTCCCTAGGCACTGCGTAGTGTGTCTCTCCCTCCTCCACTTCCTCCTCCTCCTCTTCCTCCTCCTCCTCCTCCACGCCCTCCTGACTTGCCCCTCTCGCCGCATCACCTATGCTGTTGGCAGGGGAAGACTTGTGACGGTTATAGCCCTCTCCAGGGGATCCCGAGGAGAATTGCTGGCAGTCAAACGGTAAATAGCAGCTTTGTGAACGGACGTGGGAAGGAGCGCGCGCAGGAGAGTGGGTCTGAGAGCAGTGACTCTGGGAGTGGGTGTGGGCGTGAGAGTTGGGGTGAGGTTGGGCGTGAGAGTGGGGGTGAGGTTGGGCGTGAGAGTGGGGGTGAGGTTGGGCGTGAGAGTGGGGGTGAGGTTGGGCGTGAGAGTGGGGGTGAGGTTGGGCGTGAGAGCGTGAGTGGGAGTGGGAGTGAGCGTGGGCGTGAGTGGGCGAGCAAGAAGGGTCAACAGAGGAGTTTCGGAGGCGAGAGGGTGCAGCTGTCCGGCCGCCCTCCCAGGAGAAATCGTTGCTCAGAACGGCAGAGGGCAGTTCGGACATGGTACGGCGGGACCGACCGTGCAAGGGGACCCCCACTACACGCTGGGAATGGACCCGCTGCTGTGGTTGTTGCTGCTGCTGCTGCTGCTGCTGCTGCTGCTGCTGCAGCCGCAGCCGCTGCTGAAGGTACGGCAGGTAGTGGAGCTGGGAGGGTTGCGCTTGACCTGACGAAGCAGCAGGCTTGGGCCCACGGCCCCAGCGTCTCGTGTCCTCCCACTCGTGGTACCGCTCTGTGGTATCCTTGGGCTGAGGTGCCTCGAAAGCAGCAGGGTTGGAGCCACGGCCCCAGCGACTTGTGTCCTCCCATTCTTGGTACCGGTCTGTAGGATCCTTGGGCGTTTCCCCCTCCCACTCCGCGTCCCCCTCCACCCACTCTCCCCTGGCCTCGCCTTGGCTCTCAGCCGCATCGTAGTATTGCCCATAGACGGCCTGCTGTTCGTGCTGCTGCCGCTGCCGCTGCTCAAGGTACGGCAGGTGGTGGAGTTGGGAGGTTTGCCCTTGGCCGGCCAAAGCAGCACGCTTGGGCCTACGGCTCAGGTGTCTCGTGTCCTCCCACTCATGGTACCGCTCTGTGGGATCCTTGGGCGCTTTCCCTTCCCACTCTGCGACCCCTTCCACCCACTCTGCCTCCCCCTCCTCCCACTCTGCGTCCTCTGCCGCCCACTCGCCCTCGCCCTCCACCCACTCTCCCCTGCCCTCGCCTTCGCTCTCACCCGCGTCCTCGTCTCTTTGCCCTTGCTCTCTGCTGATTAATGACTTCCCCTTTTTATAACTCTGTCCATACACGCACTGCTGCTGCTGCTGCCGCCGCCGCTGCTGTTGCTGATGAGACTGCTGTGGCCTGTGGTCGGCTTGTGCCGAAGCAGACAGGACGGATTGAGCAAGGCGGCTAGTGGGAGCTGGTCGGCGCGGGGGCGAGGGAGAGGAATTGGAGGGGGGAGCAAGGAAGGACTTTTGAGACGTCTCAAAAGTCGAGGGAGAGGAATTGGAGGGGGGAGCAAGGAAGGAGACGGGCCCTGAGGCGGACCGAGCATGGCCATGTCGGGACGCTCGGTATTGATGGGACATTGTTGGCGGTTGGGATGGCCGATGCTGATTCGCTCGGTGATAAGGCACGGAGTGTTGTTGCCTTTGCCGCTGGTATCTTTGCTCCTGCTGCTCCTCCCACTGTTCCGCCTCCTCTTGCTGTTCCTCCTCCGCCTCCTCTTCCTCCTGCTGATGCTGCTGATGAAGGTGCTGCTGATGAAGGTGCTGCTGATGAAGGTGCTGCTGCTGGTGCTGGGTCAGCCACACCAACTGCTCCCTTCCTGCCTTGTTCCGGGCGTTTCTCGCAGTCGCAACACCAAGGGCGATAGCGTTGCCCTTCCCAGTAGCACCGTTCTGATACTCAAAGTCGCCACATTCAACCGGGCCCTCTCCATCCGCGCTACAGCAACGAACTGGACGATTATAGCCTTGCTTCGCTGCAGGAGCATTTAAGAATCGCGTTGGACTGTTGCCCGCCAGAATGACTTGGGGAGAGCTGTTGCGGAGCGGGTGATTGTGTTGGTTGAGGCTGTGTCCTCCGGCAGGATTTGAACCCGCGTCTCCAACAGCAAGTCGGGCGATTTCAGCGGCAGTCATAGAGACGGAGCGGTGACGATGGCGAGCGAGAAGGGGCTTGCGGTGGGACTGCAAAAGGTGGAGAACGGTGCACATAGGGACGGAGGAAACGTGGTTCTAAGGACGCTTGGTTCATGCGTTGCTACAATGTTCTTGGCTTAGTGTTGAGTTTTAGAGCCTGAAAGGAGAAAGCCAAAATACCATCATAGCGTTCGTTAGTCAGATATGGAAGGTTGGAGCGCGAGGGAAGCTGTCTCTTCCTACAGACGTCAGGTTCCGTTCGCGACGAAGAATCATGGGGAAAGAAAAAGGAGGGACGAGGTGAGGAGGGAAACAGGACGCACCTCTCGTATGCCACCACCAGTAGCACCGCCAGCAACACCAGCAGAACCAGCAGCAGCCGAAGCTGCAGCTGCAGCAGCGCTAGCAGATGCTTCATCCGCCACGGCAGCGAGAGCAGCAGGTAGTCCTCCCCTCGAATACGACCTCCCCCGGTCGAGCACTGCCTTGACCGCCAATGGGGGGTCCTCCATCAGCATCTCGTCGAGCAGCATCGACCCGCCTCGCGACTTGCGCCGCTCCTTTCCCGGCGCTGCTCCGCGTGCAGCGGCGACTCCTGCCGACGGCGGCGCGGCGTCCGAAGTTGACGCTCTGGGCAAGTCCGAAGCGGGTGAGGGCCCAGGTTTAAAGCTAACGGACGGCAATGGGAAAGTGGAGGACCTCGGCGTGACTGGCCGCTCTGTCGGTGCTGTTGCCGCCATGGCCATCGCTCGTGAGGCTAATTCGTCCGTTACTAGTGAAGTGCCTCTCGTCCTTCGCCTTTCTCTACGTTCTTTATTATTCCCAGCTCCAACCGAGGGGTCCGCAGGAGTCCGTGGGCGAAAGTTTTGAAAATCTCGCCGTACTGGCGAACTGTTTGCTTCTGGGTAACCCGGTTTCTCCCCCGTGAATTGTTTCTGGGACGTGGTACGGCGACTTTCGGCATGACATAATTTCGCCCGGCTTCTTTGCTAGTACCTCACCTGACACGCCAGACGAGTTGACGCCTACGTTTTCGAAATTTCCTAATTTGACATGCCTGGCATGCGAAACTGGCAGCTTCGTAACGTCAAGTTTATTTTTTAGGAGGAAGATGTGCGGGACGCAGCCGGCAGCCATGCATGTGCGCCGTCAGTCGCATGAAATGCACACACTCGAAGGCTTGTTTCGAACAAGAACGCGTTCACACTGGTGAATTGTTGGAATACTTCGGACGTCGAGGAAGAAAAACGCCGCTACGTCGTAGGCTCCCTTTGAAGCTAACGCCTTCACACGCTTCGGCAATATACTGGGCTCGGAAAGAACAAGCGCATCATTTTGGAACGAAAATGGTTGGGGAAAAGCAGACACAGAGTTATCGTAGTCTGAAGAACTGTAACCTCTGTCAACCAACACTCATAACGTCGCTGGCGATGCGACTCGGAGTTTAAAGGGAAACTATATCCTAGATCCTTACTTTCAGATTTCTCTCATATTTACCCCCAGGTTTACTCGAAAGGTCCCACTTTCTGGGATTTGGCTCACGCGAGGCCCAAATTATGTTCAAAACTGGTCCTGTAGGGCTCAAATATTGACACGTGTCTATTTCACACCAACAATTTTTGACGGGGCACAAAAACAATAATACCCCTGGGGAAACCAGGACTCTTGTTCGGGAGGGATCAACCCTAAACACGGGAACCCGCCCGGTGTTTAGGGTTGATCCCTCCCGAAATGTACCCGAGGGCAAAAATTAAACCCCTTGGCTTACGGCATGCCATTCGGCAGCATGAACCCTAAAATTTTAGGGTTGAGGCTCCCTCGGATGGCATCCCATCCGAGAGGGTTTTAGTTTTTTTTTTTGTCCGCGATCAGCTTGCTGACTCGATTGCACTGCCTGCTTACGCAGGCAGTGCAATATATTACCCAAATTGTGTCCCGTTTCCCCAGGGGTATTATGTTTGGTTTGCCCCGTATAAAAAACCTTGCACGAAATCGACACGTGTCGTAATTTCTGCCCCGCAGGACCAGTTTTGAACATACTTTGGGCCTCGCGTGAGCAGAATTCCGCAAAGCTGGACTTTTTGGGTAAACTCGGGATCAAAATTGAGATATTTTTGAAACTGTGGAGCTGCGATGTACTTTCCCGAGTTTTTTTCTCGATGTTGGAGCAGGAGACAATCTCGAGGGACGACCCCAAGAGACCCTGTGGTATTCTCAACTCTCACTCACCCTCTCGACCTCGCCAGTGGAGCCTGACCAGTGGAAGAAAGGGACTTTCCAGGGCCGATTGCCTCGTGCAAACGAAAAAAGGCAATCCCAAGGGGCCTCCTCTCTCACGCACCCCCTCCTGCCCCAGCTTTGCTGGTGGATACAGGATATAGGGTAACCAGTCGCGGCCTCATGCTGCAACGTGTAGGGCCAACTCCAGCCCTCGCTTTCGCCACAGCTCGCTTTTGGTCTCTGAGGCTGACAGGGCAGAAACAGGTTACAGGATGCATTCTGTGACGCGAAACGCGACTGGGCAAGTTGTTGGGCCAATCTGACATGGCGTCGTAACATGGTGCCACATATGTCTGTGCAGTGGATGGCGCTGTCGCAGTAATCGCAGCCAATAGGCAACTGGGAAGAATTCATCGTTCTTTCACCAACCTACTACAGAAAAGGGGCAGTGAGGTGACGTTCGTTATACTGAGCGGTCATGTAACCAAACACCTTACACCACGAACACATATAATTAAATACACGTGAATTTATCCTAAACCCTATCTTCCACGTTGCAAGAGACCAAATATTGTTTCTCTGTAGTATTTTCCAGCCTTTTCCACACTAGTCGTCAGAACAGTTGCGACCTCCCCACGAGTTGACCAGGGGTTTCGCACGCGTCAGAGCAGGGGCGTTTCTGGGCTGCAGCCTATGAAGAGCCCATGCTAAGGGCTTCTATGGGGCCGCAGCCCGACTCGTGGGCTGCAGCTGCATGTCGACCTCATGCTAAGGTCGAAATCAGGACAGCAGCCCATTTCGTCCTAGTATGCAGGTCATTACGACTCACTCGTTTCTAGTTCCTTATGCCTAAGCGGACCTAGTGGTAAGGCCGTTTCAAGGGCTGCAGTCCTTTTCGACCTAATACTAGTGGCGTTTCCTGCGCCGCAGCCCAAGGAACTCTAGGCATTAGGCTGTTTAGGTTGCTGCATCCCATGAACTGCATCCCATGAAGTGACAAGGGTAAGGGGAGGTGGAATGGAACAGTGAGGGAAGGGGAGGGGATCAGTGGGGGAAGGGGAGTTGCAGAATGAGCTAAGGGAAGTTTGAATAGTGTGGGAAGGGGAATTTGAGCGCTAGGGTAAGGGGAGCTCGAGCAGTGGGAGAAGAGGAGTTCGGGCACTGGTGTGATATCAGTGGTGTGTCATCCGTGGTTGGTGTTTGCTCCTCACCTGTCAAGCTACTCCCAGATTCCTGTGCATACCCCGTCATCACGTTTCCGTTTTTCCAATTCCTGTGCATTCCCTTTCCTTCCCGCCTTTCAGTGGTAGTTGCAGGGCAGAATATACAAGTAGCCTCAGCTCTCGCTTCGAGAATTTGCGAGAGCCAGCGAGCAGATTATTGAATCGCATCATGACAAGCGGCTCACAACATCAGAAGGAGCTAAATCTGAAGGTATTGGACCCCCGCCTGTTACCCCTAGTTTTCGTTGCTCCACTCCTTGCTTCTGCTGTCTTTGCTGTTTACGTGCATTTTCCAGAGAAATCCGTTCCTTGGTCTGCTCAACACAGTTGCCGATGCTGCTAGGAGTTCCATAAGAGAGGGTTCTTCAGATTCCTTTCCTGTGTTATGACTATTCTCTGCAGGTGCAGGAACTGCAGGTGGCCTGTGCTGAGCTTTCCTCTCTGCCCTCTGGCCGGGTAAGTCCCACTTGTCGTATTATGCTGCAGCTGCGCATCGTTTATGCGTATGGAGGTGACCTTTAAGTCGACGCAAAAGTCACTGGGTAAGTAACACTTGTCTTTTCTCTTCCCCTTACTTTTTTTTCACTCATTCCAGCTTGGCATTCTCTGCTGGCCTAACTCCATGATCCATGTTTCTTCATTGTTTGTGATTACTGATATCTTCTCCCATACTCACCCCTTGCAGAGGAGCTCTCAAGATTGTCAGCAACTAATTCCGAATAAACAGGAGCGACCACACTGGAGGCGCCCACTTACGCACACAGATATTCTCTGTTTCCATGTAAAAAAGGATAGGCCAACAACTTGGCAACTACAACGTCTTGTTGTCAAATCGACAAAGAAGCATAAGGAAGACGTGTACGTGTACCGGTATTATTCCATTGTTAATCTAGGTGCAGTGTAAATTCCCCCCTCTGGGAGCAACAATACATGTGGAAACAGTTTATAACTGTACAACTTAGTTACATCACAACTCGAACCGGGGGGGTCGCATGCTCTTCACAGCTGGGAATACCCCCACAAAACTGGACAATTCCCGGGTTCCATCACACACACCTAACGAAGCCAGAACGCACCAACCTAGGAATCTCCGCCTTCCGTTGCGCCGCCATCTCAGCAGCATTGTGGCTTTAGGAGCAGCCGCTCCGTCAAATTCCGCGTATCGTGCTCACGCCAATCCACGCAAGCATCTTCCCTATTCCCATCTCAGTCAACTCAGGCTCTTGTTCGCGTCGCGACGATCCCTTGCCGAACCTCGTTCCTGGTCTGAAATGTGAATCTGCTGGGGTGGTGCTAGGCTCGGAGTCTAACTCCCTTCTGCATTCCTAAGTTCGTCCACGTGGCGTTTTCTGAATGGTCCAACATTATATTTCTCGGTCCATGCTGCTGGAGCAGACCCCAGCCGCCACGTGGCAACCACCCCACACTTGGCGCAACAGCGACGCGTCGGATTCCTCCTTTTCCCGCGCGACCCACAACTTCCCCTTCCCGCAAGCCCTCGGCGCAACCTTCTTCCCTGCATTCGCCACCGTCCGATTTCTCGAGCATTTCCTAGATTCGCATCCGGACCGTTCGCTCGCCGGGATGGCTCCGTCGTCGCACGTGGTCATCGCGAGCGTTACCGTGTGCGCAGTCGTCGCGATTGGAGTGTGCTATCTGTGCATGCGGAAGAAACGGAGAGACGGGGACGGGTACGACGGGCCTAGCCAGTCATCTGCGGCTACAGGTGCTGCTGGAGGTGCAGCGGCTGCTAATGGCGAAACTCGCGTGCCGCTTCTGTTCTCCCAGGTACGAATCACCTTCAGCGGCAGCTGCTGCAGCTGCAGCTATGGGGTTTCCTCATTCCCCATTCACAAGCCCTTTTTGAGAGCATGGGAAGATTGAAAGCATGGGAAGATTGAAAGCATGGGAAGATTGAAAGCATGGCAATGCAGCCTTCCCGACATCGAGCAGCAGTCCTTCCCGCTCTCCCCCTCACTTTCCCTACCTTTTCCCCCTTTCCGTCCCCTCCCCCTCAATCCCCCCCTCTCTTCCCCCACCCCTCCAGGACTGGGGGGACGAGAGCGAGGACATAGAGCAGCAGTCCTTTCCGCCCTCGCAGCCCTCCGCCTCCGCAGACCAGCAGGCAGCAGCAGAAGCAGCGGCGGAAGCAGAGGCAGCAGAGGCAGCGCGGGCAGCACGGCAGAAGCAGTGGGAGGAGGAGCGGCGACAGGCGGAAGCAGAGGCGGCAGAGGAGGCAGCAGCGGCGGCTGCTGCTGCGAATAAACGCGCAAGGAAGGAGGGAGGGGGAAGGCAGGGGAGGGTGAAGTTTGGCGAGTCGACTGTGAGAGAGTATGACGCTGGGGAGGGGTTGGATGGGGAGGGGGACGCAGAGGCTGCTGCTGCTGCTGCTGCTGCTGCTGCGACTGCTGCTGCTGCTGTTCCTGATGCTGCTTCTGCTGCTAAGAAGAAGGCTGCTAGGAGGGAAGGTGGGTTTAGGGTGAACAGGTGAGTGAATGAGTATATGGAGAAAGGGCGAATATGAGGTAGTTCGCACGTGGAAAGAAGTGGGGGGGAAGACAGGGGAGGGTGAAGTTTGGCGAGTCGACTGTGAGAGAGTATGATGCTGGGGAGGGGTTGGATGGGGAGGGGGACGCAGAGGCTGCTGCTGCTGCTGCTCCTGCTGCTGCTGTTCCTGATGCTGCAGTTGCTGCAAAGAAGAAAGCAGCTAGGAGGGAAGGTGGGTGGATATGAGGCAGGCAGGTAAGTGAATGACGATTCTTGATTCTGGACGGCTGGGGGCGCGGTGATGCGTGCTGCATGTTTCATTGCCAGCTGTTCCCTCTTGTGCGTACCCCTTTTTGTTACCCATAAGCCACGCTGGTATTGGAGGTGATCAGCGGGCCGGCATCGGGCAGCAGGGTGGACGGCCGAAGAACGGCAAGCTGATGGCTGGAAGCTTGACTTGAAAGCATCCATGCTTGTCCTTACCTTTTGAGGCGCCTCAAAAACCCTAAACTCCCTTTGCATGTCCCCTTGTCGTACCCTTTTTCCACACACCCAGGTGCCACGTTGATATTGGAGGTGATCAGCGGGCCAGCCTCAGGCAGCAAGCTGGTGCTGAAGAACGAGAAGCTGGAGCCATGGCCGTCCGCCACCATAGGGCAGGTGAAGGCGATATGTCACTCAATACCCACCTTGCCCCATGCCCGTTGCACACACAACCAGGCGCCACGCTGGTGTGGGAGGTGATCAGTGGGCCAGCGTCGGGCAGCCGGCTGGTGCTGAGGAACGAGAAGCTGGAGCCATGGGGACTCGAAGCTTGCGTGCCCCATGCCCCGTACCCTGTGCTCTGTGCTCTGTGCCCTGTTGCCTCTAACCCCGTTGCACACACAACCAGGCGCCACGCTGGTGCTGGAGGTGATCAGTGGGCCGGCATCGGGCAGCCGGCTGGTGCTGAAGAACGAGAAGCTGGAGCCATGGCCGTCTGCCACCATAGGGCGGGTGAAAGCCAACGACCTGCAGCTGAACGATGGGGAGGTGTCCAGCAAACATGCTTACGTCACCTGGAATGCCCTGGTGCGTTTGCGTGTCTGATGCTTTGTTCCACTAACATGCCAGCAAGCACGCCTATGTCACCTGGAATGCTGTGGTGCATTTTCGTGGCTTGGCTTTTTTGTTGGCGATCTCTGAGCTGATGTGACTCAATCCACCAGGGTTGGCGAAAGAACCTCCCTCAGGCCCCGCTTCCCACGCACTCCGCTCCTTTCCCTGCAAACTCCCCGTCCCACACCACCCCCAACACTAGCAGTCGGGGTGGTGGGAGGTGGTAGATCGTGGCTCACTGAACGGCATGCTGCTGAACGACGAGGCGATCAACGCAGAGGCGGACGAGGAGGGCGAGCGTGTGGTGTGACACAGACGACCCCGCCCAGGGGAAAAACCTCTCCCAAGCCCCTCATTTCACGTGCCCCCTCACCCTCCTCCCCCCTCACCCTCCTCCCTCCTCTCCCACTCCCTTCTCTGCTCCGCACCACTCACCAACCCGAAGCAGTCCGGGCGGTGGGAGGTGGTGGATCGCGGGTCGCTGAACGGCACTCTGCTGAACGACGAGGCGATCAACGCAGAGGCGGACGAGGAGGGCGAGCGCACCGAGGGGCGGCCCTGCCAGCTGGCGGATGGGGACGTGATCACATGCGGGTCGCAGTCGCGCATTCTGGTGCGTGCGTGCATGAGTGAGTGAGTGTGTGTGGCCTGGTGCGTGGGTGTGTGAGTGTGTGTGTTGCGGTGCATGTGTGTGTGTGTGTGTGTGTGTGTGTGTGTGTGTGTGTGTGTGTGTGTGTGTGTGTGTGTGTATGTGTGTGTGTGTGTGGTCTGGTGCTTGCGTGATTGCGTGTGTGCATTTACTCTTGTGCATGCAAGCAAGCACAATGTGTTCGGGCAAGCACGTGATCCAAGCACATCCATTCAATTCAATGCTATGGCATTCCTCTTTCCACCCTCCCTCATTTCCCCGCGGCGCGTCTGCTATAAGGTGTAGCTACTGCTATAAGGTGTAGCTACTGCTATAAGGTGTAGCTACTGCTATAAGGTGTAGCTACTGCTATAAAGTGTAGCTACTGCTATAAGGTGTAGCTATCCGCTGCCACCCTCCAGGCGAGACACTTGATGCCATAGCGTCCTCGTTCCCCCTCCCCTCATTCCTCCTCCCATCAACTTGCCATGCCATAGCGTCCTCTTCTCCCCTGCCCTCATCCCCATCCTTACCCCCTCAGGTGCGACTACTGGCAGACACAAGCAAGGTGGAGCACCCGTGCCCAGACGCCCCGTGTGACATCGCCATAGCAGCCGACCCCATGCGGGCACGCAAGGGAGGCAAGCCGCTGCCCATGGAGGACGTGCCTCTGTGCGAGTGGCCGCTCAGAGGCCTGCAAGATGTGAGTGCAGAGGGAGCAGAGAGGGATTGACTGTAGAGTGGGGTAGAGGAAGTGGGTGCCAGCAGCAAGGGGAGCAAGCCGCTGCCCGTGGAGGATGTGCCTTAGTGCGAGTGGCCGCTCAGGGGCTTACATGACGTGAGGTGTGAATTGTGGCTGTATTCAGTTGGTTGCTGCAGTCCACGAGCGCATAAGGCAGAACATTTATTATACCACCCTCCATTTCCACACACGTGCCTCCGTTCTTTCTAACCTCGCAGTGATTGTTTGTTACTGCTCTGTAGCTCTCTGCCTTACCCTCACGTGGGGCCTCACTTTCCCCTCACCTTCTCCCACCCGCCGCACCATGTGTATGTGTGCGGTCCTCAAATGGGCATTTGCTGTGTGTTTGTGTTTGGTTCCCTTCATATTCACTTCTGTTACTTCCCTGTCTGCCCTTGCCTTCTCCCACCCTGCCCCCCACGTGCATTTGCACGGATTACAGATGGGCATCTGCTGTGTGTTTGACGGCCATGCGGGCAGGCAGTGCGCCGACAATGTCAAGAGGTGAGACCACTGCTACTGCATGGGGGTCTGTTCTGGTGTCATTGTGTGGACCTTGACAATGGTGAGTGTGATTATGCAAGTGTGTGTGTGGCATGGGCGCCTCAGATGGTGGAGTGGTATGATACCGATCAAACGTTGGACATTAAGATGTCAAAGGTCTCAGAAAACTATTTTTTTGCCTTTGGATGAAGTTATCATTTCTCAAACCCACAACTGCTTATTCCTCTCACCATTTTTTATACTAGGTGTGAATTCTCACAACCAGGTTGGTGGAGGTTCATGTTGTGATGTGGAAATGGAGAGATTTCATGATTGGAAGAAGGGCGGTATGGTTGGAGCATTTCAAGTGACCCACAAGAAAAAAAAACTTGAAGTTGTTTTCGAACTTGATTACGTATCTCTAACAATAAAAAACCACAAAGACATACCCCACACAGCCCGTTTGACATGCCAAAAAGTTAGAGAGAGGTATGACATTAACGATAGGGTGACAGATGTTACGTTCCTTGATGGCTGACATCCTCTTGTTAATGTCATGCCTCTCTCCAACTTTTCGGCGTGTCAAACGCACTGTGTGGGGTATGTCATTGTGGTTTTTTATTGTTAGAGGTACGTAATCAAGTTCAAAAACATCTTCTAGAGTTCTTTCCTTGTAGGCCACTTGAAATGCTTCAACCACATCGCCCTTCTGCCAATCATGAAATCCCTCCACATCCACATCACAATGTGAATCTGCACGAATTCAGTTGTGAAAATTCACGCCCAGTTAAAAAAATGATGAGAAGAATAAGCAAATATGGGTTTGGGAAATGAAAACTTTGACAACTTGTTGCCCAATGTCTGCTTTGCCCAATGTCTGCTTTGCCCAATGTCTGCTTTGCCCAATGTTTGCTTTGCCCAATGTTTTCTTTGCCCAATGTTTGCTTTGCCCAATGTTTGCTTTGCCCAATGTCTGCTTTGCCCAATGTTTGCTCTGTACCGTCACGCGAGCACGTGGCGGTGGCTATGAGCTGCAAGAAACACTTCTGCCCGCACCCTCTCCCCACCCTCTCGACACTTCCCCCAACCCACCCCTCTCCTCTTCTATTCCTCGGAATCTTCCCTGAAAAGCTATCCCAGGAGATGCTGAAGCGGGGCAAGCACGTGTGGTGCGCATCATCTTAAAGCACAACCATCTTAAATTGATGCTTTGGGCAAGCACGTGTGGTGCCTGTATATCCTTCTCTCCTCTCGCCCTACCCTTCCCTTCCCTTGCCCAACCCATTTCCCGCCTCTCAGAATCTTCCCTGACAAGCCATCTCAAGAGCTCATGAAGGGGGACAAGCACATGGTGGTACGCATGCCCCGCATCCCTTGCTCACCCTTTAGAATCTTCCCTGAGAAGCTATCTCAGGAGCTCCTCAAGGGGGGCAAGCATGTGGTGGTGCACAGCGCATAAGCTGCAAGCACCTCCACTGCTCACACGGTGCGTTGCATATTCTTCCCTTACCCACCCTCGCCCTGCCTTTTCTCAACTCCAGAATCTTCCCTGAGAAGCTATCCCAAGAGCTACTCAAGGGCGGCAAGCACGTGGTGGTGCGCATGAGCTGCAACGCGACCGACGTGCTGCGAGCAGCCTTCAAGGTGACAGAGGAGGAGCTCAATAACGAGGATGAGGGCTGCACTGCCACCGTGCTGCTCGTGTGGCGGGCCTTCCAGCCGCCCCACCGTGTGTGGGTGCAGGCAGCCAATCTTGGGGACTCACACTGCGTGCTGGGGTAAGAGGGGAGGGTGAATGCCGATCCACGCAGGTGCAAAGACGGTTGGTATTTTAAGGGCTGCACTGCCACTGTGCTGCTCGTGTGGCGGGCCTTCCAGCCGCCCCACCGTGTGTGGGTGCAGGCAGCGAATTTGGGAGACTCACACTGCGTGCTGGGGTAAGAAGGCAGCGGTGGGGGGAGTTGCAGCTGTAAGCAACCCAGTTTGGACCGAAAGGGGCACCTAGCACGGTTGATGGAGTGGGGGAGGGCCTTCCTGCCGCCCCACCGCGTGTGGGTGCAGGCAGCGAATCTTGGAGACTTGCACTGCGTGCTGGGGTGAGTTGTCAAGTTTAGAGACCGCACCAGTCTCGGGACTCACTGCGTGCATGGGAAGGGAATGGGCATATCATGGGATGACCTTCACAGCAGTCTGGGAAGGGAATGGGCATGGGATGGGATGGCCTTCATGCTGCATCTCCCTACCGTGGCTCTCTCTTCCCTCCCATTCCCCCCCATTCCCAACCACACCCGCCCATTCCCACCCATACCCGCCCATTCCCAACCACACCCGCCCATTCCCACCCATACCCGCCCATTCCCAACCACACCCGCCCATTCCCACCCATACCCGCCCATTCCCAACCACACCCGCCCATTCCCACCCATACCCGCCCATTCCCAACCACACCCGCCCATTCCCACCCATACCCGCCCATTCCCAACCACACCCGCCCATTCCCACCCATACCCGCCCATTCCCAACCACACCCGCCCATTCCCACCCATACCCGCCCATTCCCAACCACACCCGCCCATTCCCACCCATACCCGCCCATTCCCAACCACACCCGCCCATTCCCACCCATACCCGCCCATTCCCAACCACACCCGCCCATTCCCACCCATACCCGCCCATTCCCAACCACACCCGCCCATTCCCACCCATACCCGCCCATTCCCAACCACACCCGCCCATTCCCACCCATACCCGCCCATTCCCAACCACACCCGCCCATTCCCACCCATACCCGCCCATTCCCAACCACACCCGCCCATTCCCACCCATACCCGCCCATTCCCAACCACACCCGCCCATTCCCACCCATACCCGCCCATTCCCAACCACACCCGCCCATTCCCACCCATACCCGCCCATTCCCAACCACACCCGCCCATTCCCACCCATACCCGCCCATTCCCAACCACACCCGCCCATTCCCACCCATACCCGCCCATTCCCAACCACACCCGCCCATTCCCACCCATACCCGCCCATTCCCACCCATACCCGCCCATTCCTCATCAACCCCCACCGAACTTTGTTGGCAGCCTGGGCAGCGCGAGTGAGGAGGCAGTGGTGCAGATGACAGAGGACCACCGGCTGACAGGGCCCGTGGAGAAGGGGCGCCTGGCGTCCATTGGCAAACCCATGCGCGACGGGGACACTCGGCTGTGTGGTGAGATGGGTGTGCCGTGAGATGGGTGTGCCGTGAGATGGGGGTGGGTGTGGGGGATGTGGGGGATAAAGGGATGAAATTCCACTTGGAAGATGAAAGAGGCTTCATGTGGGGGGCTGAGAGGATTCACGGGGAGTGAGCGGTGGAGAAGGGGCGCCGGGCGTCCATTGGCAAGCCCATGCGCGACGGGGACACACGGGTGTGCGGTGAGATGAAGGGGGGAATGTGGTGGATGAAAGGGCCATGCGGGGAGATGGCAGGGGTCACAGGGAGTGAGTGGTGGAGGCACAAGGGGCGCCTGGCATGGCATCCATCGGCAAGCCCATGCGCGACCGGGACACACGGCTGTGCGGTGAGATGAGCATGGGGGCCATGTGGTGAGATGAGCATGGGGGCCATGTGGTGAGATGAGCATGGGGGCCATGTGGTGAGATGAGCATGGGGGCCATGTGGTGAGATGAGCATGGGGGCCATGTGGTGAGATGAGCATGGGGGCCATGTGGTGAGATGAGCATGGGGGCCATGTGGTGAGATGAGCATGGGGGCCATGTGGTGAGATGAGCATGGGGGCCATGTGGTGAGATGAGCATGGGGGCCATGTGGTGAGATGAGCATGGGGGCCATGTGGTGAGATGAGCATGGGGGCCATGTGGTGAGATGAGCATGGGGGCCATGTGGTGAGATGAAGGAAACATGTGGTGAGATGGGAGGGTCATGTGGGGGATGAATGAAAGCAGCATATGAGGAGATGAGAGGAGTCACAGGGAGTGAGGGGTGGTGACGGGGCTTCTGGCGTCCACGGGCAAGCCCATGTGAGGTGAGACGGGCATGCTGGTGGCAAACGTGATTGAAGAAGTGTTTTGAGACGTCTCAAAACACTTCTTCAATCAGGTGACGGGGCGTCTGGCGTCCACGGGCAAGCCCATGTGAGGTGAGACGGGCATGCTGGTGGCAAACGTGATTGAAGAAGTGTTTTGAGACGTCTCAAAACACTTCTTCAATCAGGTGACGGGGCGTCTGGCGTCCACGGGCAAGCCCATGTGAGGTGAGACGGGCATGCGGGTGGCAAAGGTGCTCGGGAAGGGCGGTTTTAAAGGAGCGCTTGTTGGCCATGGACAAGCCCATGTATGATGGGGCCACGCAGATGCGCTGTGATTCGAGGGGGGCATGGGGGGGATGTGTAGTGTGGGTCTGTCCCAGGACACCCCGCCTTTGCTCATTCCAAAACCCCCACCCTATTTTTGAGTCGGCTCAAAAAAAGCATGGAGGGGATGTGTAGTGTGGGTCCGTCTGTCCCCGGACACCCTGCCTCTGCTCATTCCAAAACCCCCATCCTACCCCCTGTCCCGTACCCTCGCTCCTTGCTATGACACTCAACCACTCCTCTCTCCCACTCTCCCACACACATGCAGGAATGAACATAGCGCGTGTGTTTGGGGACATGTTCCTCAAGCAGCAGGACGTGGGGCTCTCCTCCGACCCATCCATTGCATTAAAACTCAGCCCTCTCCACTTGTCCAACCCCCCCCCTCACCCACCAGGCATGAACATAGCGCGTGTGTTTGGGGACAAGTTCCTCAAGCAGCAGGGCGTGGGGCTCTCCTCTGACCCATCCATTGCATTAAAACTCAGCCCTCTCCACTTGTCCAACCCCCCCCCTCACCCACCAGGCATGAACATAGCGCGTGTGTTTGGGGACAAGTTCCTCAAGCAGCAGGACGTGGGGCTCTCCTCCGACCCATTCATCCATGCACCCCTGCAGCTGCCCGTGCCAGACGAAGGCAGCACGAGCAAGCCAATTATTGGAGTCATTGCCAGGTGAGTGATGCTGATGGTGATGATGATGGTGATGGTGATGGTGATGGTGATGGTGATGGTGATGGTGATGATGATGGTGATGGTGATGGTGATGATGATGGTGATGATTCTGCTGATGATGCTGAAATTCGCCTAGTGATCCCATCAAATTACTGACATTGTTGCACCTTGCACCTCTGATTTCCTATGTGCGTATGCAAGTGTATGCATGTGTATGCATGTATGTGTATGTGTGTGCATGTGTATGAGCAATTGTATGCGTATGCATGCATGTATGTGCATGTGCGTGCATCTGCATCCATCTGCATCCATCTGCATGCATGTGTATGCATGTGTATGCATGTGTATGCATGTGTATGCATCTGTATGCATGTGTATGCATGTGTATGCATGTGTATGCATGTGTGCAGTGATGGTTTATGGGACGTGATGTCAGTGAAACGAGCCGTTCAAGTGGCACTAGAGGTAAGCCCACGCTTTCCCTACTGGCACATGCCACAGCTTCATAAGATTTTATCAGCGAGCGTGAAAGTATTTTTCCCTTGCACTGTGTGCCGGATTCGCCTTCTAACAACGTGTATGCATTCATGTTGTTGCAGGCTCGGAAGGAGGAGGAGGAGGGGGGAGGGGGGGGCAGCACAGCGGAGGCCATGGCAAGTGCGCTGGTGGCAAAGGCACGCACGCTGAGGACACACGACAACACCACCGTTGTTGGGATTGACTTCACTGCCATGCTGCACAGCATTGCTTGATGATGGGGTTTAAGGTGGTATGCTGCGGTGCGGCTGCTGCTGCTGCTGCTGCTGCACTGCGGCTGCTGCTGCTGGCCATGGCAAGTGCGCTGGTGGCAAAGGCACGCACGCTGAGAACACACGATGACACCACCGTTGTTGGGATTGACTTCACTGCCATGCTGCACAGCAGCGCGTGATGATGGGTGGTGATTGTACTGTGATGGTGGTCCATTTGGATTGAGACATCTGGAAACTGATCGTACGGTACCTCGGAGCCGTGTGAAAACTGGTGCGATACACATGGCTTGCCATGCCCTGCTGATGATGCCTACGGTTTGAAATAACTGGTAGAACAGTTATGCCCCCTTTTTAGATGCCTCGATAGCAGCGCAATGCAAGGCGCGATAGGAGGTATTCCTTAAAATAACGGGCTTGATAGTCGAGTGGTTGCATTCAGGCATTGATGAAGTGAGACGTGTGAATTTGAGATGACTTTATCACGGATATTTCCATGTAGAGTTACAGCTACAATTGGTGGCATTGTAACAATAACACTTCAATGACATGCTTCCAGCGGGGATGCCCCATGAGGAGAATTGATCAGGCTGCCGCGGCTCCATGAGGCAGTCGGTTTGGTAGTAAGCAGCCTAGGAATCTGCGAGCTGAGCAATTAGTAGCAGCAGGGGCGGGGTTCGAGCGCGATTCCATGGCGTCCGTTCGCCATTCTTCCCGCCTTCTCCGCTCACTCCTCTCCCTCCGCCTCCCATCCGCTCTGCTTCCGCCGTCCCTCCCAAACCTCCCCGCCCGTCCATATCACCACCTTCCCGCCAAATTCTCTACGCCATTCTCCGGATCGCGTCGTCTCGAAACCCCGTTACTATCACACCCGTTTGCACTCTCGCACCGCTTTCTCGCAACCGCTTCAAGTAGCACAGGCGGCGGCGGCGGTGACGGTGGGTTTGACAGAGACTCGCGATCGGATCCGCGCATCGGATCTACGAGCCGCGTGGTTTCCGCGAGAGAGGTTTCAGGGGGAGCGGATGCTCAAGGGGGAATCTCGGACCGCGAAAGCGCGGAGCTGAAGCTTCGCGGAAGCAGCGCCGATGTTGACGAGGACGAGGAGACGGATGACGTGGACGAGCGGACGAACGAGCTTCCGGCGCACGCGCTAGCAAACGCCGACGCGATCAGCGCTGACGTGGCAGAGCTGACGTCAGCGTTGGAGGAGGAAGAAGCAGGGTTAGGGTTACACCCCGAGTTAGACGTTGAGGGTTTGGAGCATATAATCGACATGGGAAGGCGGCTCGAGGGCATGCCGCGGCGCGTGCAGCGATTCATGTTCGAGAAGATGCTTAAAGTGAAGCCGGGCCGACCGCCGTCCATGCAGCGGTTGAAACGGGTGAGGACTTGTATCGAGTATGCGCCTGGAACCGGTGAGAGCTTATATCAAGTATGCCCTTCTAACCTTACTCCCCCTCCGCCCCCGCCCCCTTTCCCCTTCCCCCTCTACTCTCTTCTTTCCCCCCTCTCCCCTCCTCTCTCCCCCCTCTCCCCTCCTCTCTCCCTCTCCCCTCCTCCTCCCCCCTCTCCCCTCCTCTCTCCCCCCTCTCCCCTCCTCTCCCCCCTCTCCCCTCCTCTCTCCCCCTCTCCCCTCCTCTCTCCCCCCCTCTCCCCTCCTCTCTCCCCCCCTCTCCCCTCCTCCTCCCCCCCTCTCCCCTCCTCTCTCCCCCCCTCTCCCCTCCTCTCTCCCCTCTCCCCTCTCCCCTCTCCCCTCTCCCCTCTCCCCTCTCCCCTCTCCCCTCTCCCCTCTCCCCTCTCCCCTCTCCCCTCTCCCCTCTCCCCTCTCCCCTCTCTCCTCCCCCCTCTCCCCTCCTCTCTCCCCCCTCTCCTCCTCCCCCTCCTCCTCCCCCCTCCTCCCCTCCTCTCCCCCTCTCCTCTCTCCCCCCTCTCCCCTCCTCTCTCCCCCCTCTCTCCCCTCCTCTCTCCCCCCCTCTCCCCTCCTCTCTCTCCTCCCCCCTCCCCTCTCCCCTCCCTCTCCCCCTCTCCCCCCTCTCTCCCCCTCTCTCTCCCCCCCCTCTCCCCCTCTCCTCTCCTCTCCCCCCTCTCCCCTCCTCTCTCCCCCCTCTCCCCTCCTCTCTCCTCCCCCCTCTCCCTCCCCTCCTCTCTCCCCCCTCTCCCCTCTTGGAGCACCGCAGCAATTCCAGTTGCGTGTAGTGTATGTCAATTATCCATCAATCAGCTCCCCTTCTCCCCCCTCTGCCCCCTCTGCCCCCTCTGCCCCCTCTGCCCCCTCTGCCCCCTCCCCCACTCTCATCGCGCCACAGCAATTCCAGATGCGAATAGTGGACGTCAACCGCACTGCCAAGGTCACCAAGGTGCGTTGCTGCCGCCCTCCACTCCGCGCACCTCTTCATCTCTTCCCCATTCTCCTGTTCCCATCCTCATTTTTCGTTGCACTTCCTGCTCTTCGTTTCGTTGCTTCCCTTCCTCCTCCCGCCCCGCCCCCGCCCCCGCCCCCCGCCCCCCCCCCGCCACCTTCCATGTACCTTGTGTTTCCCGTCGTTTCATGCTTTCTCGTGGGAGACGAGTTTTGAGGCGTCTTGAAATGGGTCTCCTATTCCCTGTTCCTGGGCTTACCCCTGTACCCGGAACCCTGTTTCTTCTCTTCTATCCTTCTTCGCTCTCTTCCTCATTCACCCAGGGAGGCAAGGTGTTGAGTTTCACAGCGCTGGTGGTGTGTGGGGACGGGCAGTAGACTCCCCTTCTTCGTTTCCCCCTTGCCTTCCCCCTCTCCTTCCCCGTCCTTTTCTCTATACTTTCCCCTCATTCCCCCTCCTTCCCCCTCTCCTTCCCCCTCCTTTTCTCGATCCTTCCCCCTCTTTCCCTCTATCCTCCCCCCTCCTTTCAGGGAGGCAAGGTGTTGAGTTTCACGGCGCTGGTGGTGTGTGGGAACGGGCAAGGCACGGTGGGGTATGGCAAGGGCAAGTCGGCAGAAATGGGGCTGGCGGTTGATAAGGTGAGAAGAAGGGGGTCAAGGTGACACATGCCGTGCGGTATAGAGAAGTGCAGTGCGGTGATCGGCTAAGGGGCAAGGCACGGTGGGTTGTGGCAAGGGCAAGTCGGCAGAAATGGGGCTGGCAGTTGATAAGGTGAGAAGAATGGGGTCAAGGTGAGACATGCCGTGCGGTATAGAGAAGTGCAGTGCGGTGATCGGCTGAGGGGCAAGGCACGGTGGGTTATGGCAAGGGCAAGTTGGCAGAAATGGGGCTGGCAGTTGATAAGGTGGGGCTGTAAGGGTGATTGAGATGAAACAAGGAGTGCAGTGCGGTATTAGGCTGTGAATGCTGAATATGATTGAGTGGGGTGTGGCAAGGGCAAGTCGGCCGAGATGGGGCTGGCGGTTGATAGGGTGGGTGTGCATGGGTGAGAGGGACAAGCAGTGCCGTGGAGTGCGGTGCAGTGCGGTGCCAGGCTGTCGAGACTGAACATGGCTGAGTGGGGTATGGCAAGGGCAAGCCAGCAGAGATGAAATGAATCAAGCGGTGCATTGCGGTGCAGTGGGCGGGGGGGGGGGGGGGGGGGGGGGGATCTACAGAAATTAGCTTCACAAGGGAAACGGACAATGAAGCAGTTCTTCCCCCCGCTCCTGCCCCCTTTCCCCTCTTCCTCTTCTCCGCCAATCCACCTCCCCCCACCCCGTGCAACACTCCCCCCTGCAGGCCTACCTGCGGGCGCTGAGGAATCTGCATTACTTTGATCGATTCAGAGGGCGAACCATTGCCGAAGCACAGATGGCGAAATACGGCAAGACAAAGGTGGGGTGGCTTGGTGTCTCACTAGCGTGATTTTTAAGGCGCCTCAAAAGAGGGCGAACCATTGCCGAAGCACAGATGGCGAAATATGGAAAGACAAAGGTGGGGTGGCTTGGCGTGGCCTTTGAGACCGCACAAAAACAGGAAGGTGGGGGGTGGTTTTTTTTTTTTTTTTTTTTTTTTTTTTTGGTAGAATGCACGAAACGACAGGTGGAGTTTGATTCGGTTTTTGAGGCAGCACAGCACAGAATGACAGAGATGGGGACAGTCAAAGGACAGACTAGGGCTGGGGTGTTGGAGAGATTTAGGTGCGGTAGACAGGTGCAGTGCACAGGTGTGGAAGGGGTTGGGCGTGAGTGCACGGAGCCTCGCCACCGAACTTCACCACTGCTTACCTTACCCATTCCACCTTATCCCACCTCCTGGCAGGTGTACATGTGGCTGGCACACAAGGGGTCGGGCATGAGTGCAGGGAGCAGCAGAGCCGTATTCACATAGTCCGGCCCTGCATGAATGTGCCCCAACAACCCGTCAACCCTTGTCCGTGTGCGTGGCAGGTATACATGTGGCCGGCACGCAAGGGGTCGGGCATGAGTGCCGGGAGCACGCTGGCTGGCATTCTGAGACTGGCGGGCTTCCAAGCAGTCAAGACCAAGGTGGGGGTACAGGCATGTGGAGTGAGGGCCATGAGGAGTGACAGGCAGGTGGGGTGACAGGCAGGTGGGGTGAGAGGCGCGTGGGGTGTAGATGTTGGTGGGTTGAGATTACGGCTTTAAGTGCAGTTATGCATTGAATTTGAGTGGGTGGGTGGTGTTGTGTGCATGGAGCACTCTTGTGTGACGCATCTCAGAATGAGATTAAAGCTGCATGTGTCTTTTTGTGTTGTGTGCATGCTGCACATGGGTGTGTGTGCGCACGCACTTGCACGCGCGCTTGTGTGTGCGTGTGGGTGTGTATACTTGTGTGTGCGCTCATGTGTGTGATTCTGGAGTGGGTGCTGAGTGGGTGGCCTCTGTGCGGGAGAGAGTGTGGGAGGGGATGTGTGGGAGTGGGTGTGTTGGAGGGAGTGTGTGGGAGGGAGTGTGTGGGAGGGAGTGTGTGGGAGGGAGTGTGTAAGTGCAGGTGATTGGCTCGCGGCATCCCCACAACACAGTGAAGGCAGCCTTCCAAGCTCTCAGCATGGTGCGACTCCTCCCATACATGGCATGGCATGGCATGGCATGAAATCACTTCTAAATGATCACTTTGATGCATGTCGTTCTCAAAAGCAGCCTTCTAAGCACTCTGCATGGTGTGACTCCTCCCATTGATTGCGTGGCATGGCGTGGCACGGCAGGGCAAGGCATGGCAGGGCATTGCAGGGCATGACATGGCTTGGCATCGCATGGCATGATATGGCGTGGCAACACATGGCAGGGTGTGGAATGGGATGTTTAGAACAAATTCACCACTAAAAACTCAACCCTGGCTGCCCGTGTTGTGTACCCCCGTCTCTACCTCTGCAATTTTGCCTTCTTGCTCTGATGTTCCAGGTAACAGCCAAAGCAGAGGCAAGCCAGATGTAGCCACTTAATATCTCGGCCTGACCATCTGACAGTTGTTTTCATATGAAAATGTCCTTTCTGCTTGGTGCTAAGGCATAAAACAGAGTCCACAGGAAAGCTGGTTATTTGTGTAATAGTAACGGGTAAAATGTTCCACCCAACGCGTGATATAACAAGACTCCACAAGATGCTATTTCTGAACTTCGTCCTACTGGAGCGAGTGGCATGCGTGAGAGAAGTGTGTAACCTTTGGTCGGGAGGTGCCCTTTCTACAGGTGTGATTTCCAAAGCGCAAGCGGCCATTTTCAGGTGCATGCAGCTTAGTCGAGACGCGTTATTCAGGTGCATGCCAGGTTGCTTACACTTTTCTCAGGTTAAAAAATGTCTCTCGTAAATTAACACGCAGTTCAAGATTCGATTAAAATTGGCACAAAAGGTCTGAAATAGATGCAATTTCGGGCTACGCAAATTGGAATCGGAATGGTTGGCTCTCGATGCTGCATTTTCTGACGTAACTCAGTGTAATGATTGCATTTTGTCCAATTTATACGCAAATTTCTGCTTTGCACCAACTCATTTCGAACGAATCTAATGCTAGATCTGTTGTACTTTTGACGCAGATGACGGACGCTGCGCATGGCAAATCAGCAAACCCTTCGTGAGTGTTTGTATATTTTGCCTCTACCAAACTAAGTTTGCCGTACGTGCATATTGAAATAGGTGGTATTCAACGGCCTTAATTACGTGGCATTAAATATACATGTAACATACGATATATCCTTAATAGCTGTAAGGGTAACTCACTCTTAACACTCGGGCATATTTATCGTGTTTCGGACTACCCTTTTCAAGCAATGCACGTCCCACTAGAGTTTGCTGATTTGACCCGCGAAGCGTCCGCCACCTGCGCCAACAGTACAAACGATTTAGCATTACAATCCGTTCAAAAAGATTTGGTGCGAAGCAAAAAATTGCGTAGAAACTGGGCAGAAATGCAATCATTGCACTGAGTTACGTCAGAAAATGCAGCATCGAAAGCCAATCATCCCGATTCCGATTTGCGTATTCCGAAATTCCATCTATTTCAGACCTTTTGTGTCAATTTTTATCGAATCTTGAACTGCGTATTCATTTACGGGAGAAATTTGTTAACCTGAGAAAAGTGTAAGCAGCCTGGCATGCACCTGAATAACGCGCCTCGACTAAGCTGCATGCACCTGAAAATGGCCGAAGCGCAAGAGAGTGGCTCGTGCCATCTTTCGATTCGCACGCGAGGCAGCCCGCTCTGATTGGCCCTCGGTGCGGATGCGGAATGGTTGGGGCAGAGCTTCGTGGTTCCCTTCCTCCCGCCCGCTTACACATCCCCAGCGCCGGCGGGACAAATGCCATCCGTGAATTTTGATGCTGGTTCTCAGGGCAACCCTCTTTGGTATTACCCCGGCTGTCGATCATAATTCGCTGGTTCTCAAGGCGTGCTCTTGACTGAAGATGACGTTTTCCCTATGGATACTGTAGTGTAGTCGAGCTAGAATGCGAAAGAAATGCGAGCTCGGCACGATGTCTTCCCGCTTTGCTCAACTGATGCTATGGAATCAGGGGTTCTGAACAGGTAGAACTTAAAAAGCAAAAATAATAATAATCCAAACCCGAATCCGATACATTGCCCAGAGTCTGGACCCCAGAACGAAGAAAGGCACTACGAAACCATGGGAGCGAGAAGTTGGATGGCACCAGAAAATGCGAGAGCACAATCCGGAGGGAACACACAACGACAAGCCTACTAAAATGTTACCTAAGGGCGCGTGTCTTTTGCTGTAGAGGTTCGGATTTTTGGTTGAACTTTTGCTGGTTACCGTTTTCGCAACTGTCGCAATTTTTTTCGCGAAGACGTCGTGTGTCCAAGGACAACATCGGGGGTATGAAATTACGAATCCGAAGTTGAACTTTCTTCAACAATCATGTTGGCACGAAACGCAAGCGTGTGTCCAGCTGACCGCAGACGACGAAGATGCGAAGTCTGCGACGCTAGCAGCAAGCTTCGTGCGCACTAGCGACGTCGTCAGATTGAGTGCCGGCTTCGGCAACACACACGTGGCAACCTACGAGACTCCAACCCAAACCGGGTAACCTACGAGAATAGACCGCGACTCGGCCGAGGCTCAAAAGTTCAACTTCGGTAGTTGAACTATTGTGTGTCCTGTGATTCTCGGGGGTGTTGGAGCCGCGACTCGGTTTGAATATGTGGATATACTCGAGCCTAGGTCGACCTAGGTTCAAATGCATACAGTTCAACCCAAAATCCGAGTTTTGCTTATTAAAACCAAAAGACACGCGCCCTAACACCGGACCCAACCTCTCATACAGTACTTTGGGGATGGTGAAGTACAGTTCCGAATCAGAAACTTGTAGAGAAGAAATTCTGAATTTTCTGGGTGGAACAACTTTCCAGCTGGTTTCCTGCAGGTTAGCGAAACAGAGCGAATACAGAGCGAGTTCCGGTACCAGTTCTCGCTCGGTACGAGATATATCACTCATTTAAGACCGACGGTGTTATTGAGTTGTATAATACACCTACTCCCCCCCACCCCCTCTCCCCCCCCAAAGAAAGAGACACTTCCCCTAGCGAGACACCGCCGCTCATAACACGAGACAAGAGATAGAGCAGAGCATGGAGGAATTCCCACAAGCAACATCGAGCCATGAAGGCTTGATTTCGTCTGCGAAACCATTCCCGATTGTGTGGCTTGCAAGTTTTCTGGGTATGTCGGAGATAAAAGTCTGTACACTTCAACACAACGCGGATTTGGAAATGTAGCCTAAAATATTTTGAGCACCGCAAGTTTGAAATATCTTGACATTGACCAGTGCATGGTTGAGGTGTAACAAGAAGGCGTACCCATCACAAACCCTGGCAAAACAATTTTCTTTATTCCAAATCGGTAGCCCATTACATCATGGAGGCCTTTTGACTATGCATATCTCAACGAGCATTATACTGTATCACAACAATGTTCTTCAATCCAAATCGCTAACCCATTACATCACTACTGTGAGTGAAGATCGTTTGCCCGAAAATATTAAGGACGTGGCCCAGACCGCTTCTGATTGCCTCGATCAGAAGCGATCAATAACTTCCAGGAAGCCCCAAAGCCAATTTCAGGCAATCGGGGGCAATCAGCTGATCGCGATCAGCTGATTGCCCCATCTCGATCAACCGCCTCAAACACCCCAATCAAACACAATCACACACAATCACGCACGATCAGTTGATTGCGTTGGGTTGCACATCTATGCGACGCCAGCGAAAAGTTACAGTGTTCGTATGGGTTTCGAGTAGCCCTCGCCTTACCTCCACGACTGCAAGAACTTTCTGGACGCGCATGCAGTTTCTGGGTTTCCAAGTCAGAAGTTTCTGGAGCCGTCGTAACGTTGCTGTCTCCCTTTGCGAAAGTACAGGGTGACACAGGTATCGCTGGAGCAGTGCTCATGCCTTTCACTGTCGCCAAATTTGGCCCGAAGCTGGTGGGAAATGTGTTTGTGCTTGCCATGCACCATCCCATCACATTCGAGGAATTTCGGCTCTGATCGGGAGGCACGCGCCGCGCGATCAAAGTCGCCCCGATCAGATCCAACCCGAGCAGATCACTGCCGATCAGACCCGGTCTGGGCCACGTCCTAAAATGGAATGGAATGAAACGGGAAGGAGAGAGCGGTGCAGCTGCAGAAAAGGAAACAAATGGAAAAACAAAATTCGAAATGCAAATGATTTCTGTCCCGTCCATTCGTGCAGGTTCTGCCGCCTTTGTGTCTTTGGAATCATCGAAACAAATGTTGCTTTGGAAAGTTGTACCCTTTGGACAAATCTCAAAAACAATGTGGACAGCGATCCGTATCCCTGTGGGGGGCAATCAGATCTGCTCCTGATTCGCTTCGGGCTCCGGAGTTTATGTGCGAATGACGTTGCTTGTTGCCCGATTGAATGACATAATTCTCTTTATAACTCATGTAGTTCCATTTACAGATTGGTCGAATTTTCAGGCAGACAAAACGATTATAAATCGCTTGACAGTTTCGCATTTGTGTGCGTGTAGACATAGCAGAAGTTCTCCACGTCAATCAGCAAAGCAGAAACCCCGACCACTGGGCACATGGTGGTGAATGGCAAGCTGGCAGACCAGCTCACATCACATGCACCGCCGCAGTGTACGAAGTTAGAAACCCCAGACCGTCTCTGTGACAGAGCGCTCTGCGGCGGAACGGGGGACCCCACCAGCAAGCACAATGGATGGTGGCGGAGAGCAACTTTAGCGGAGCTCTAGAAACAGAGTTCCGCGCGCACGCTTTGTTTTGTTCCGAGGAAGCGAATGGCGGTCCCCACTGAGGAATTAGCGGATCCCTCTCTGTTCCTATCATTTCAGCACACAGCTCCCTGCTGCCCCACTGGTGTGACTCCAGCTTCAAAAACAGGTTACCTGCCAGCTTCCAAGTAGCTGGTTCAGATCGTGATTGAAAACTGAAGGGCTGTCTTTCCCGCTGGAATATACAAGCATGGAGCACGTGGAATCAAGGGATTTGAAGGCCCAGCTGCGTCTGTCACGTGTCCGTATCTATACGATAGCGATCAAGAGGTGAATGCCGATGCATCGAAACTCCGAGAGCTATGGTTTGCATGATTTTGATCGGGAAGCATTTGGTGTGGCCTTTGATTTTAGGAACACCCAAAACCTGCAACATGATGTCGTCGTTTTCTATGTGAAATCTGACATTTTCTTCTGATGAACCAAGTCGGAGATCTCCGAGTTTCCTTTGTTTCGCAAACTGTGAGTCCCGAGCCAAACAAACTGCTCCTCTGCGCCTGAAATTTATCCATCGAATGGACGGCTTGCCAGAGCCGGATGATCATGACGATCCTCGTTTCATCCGCACCGTTCAAAGACACTGGCAGCAGCTCCCTGCGGCATCTCTAAGCGATCCCACGCCCGTTCTTCCGCAAGTGAGTCTCTTTCGCACACCAGATCCGCCACGCACAGCGCTGCTTCCGCCATTCCCCGGAAGAATCGCCCGTTTTGCCGCGACCGCTTCCCCGAGCCAGCTCCCCCGCGCGTTCTCCGGGAATACCGTTCCTGCGGCGGCATCCAGCAGCAGCAGCAGCGGCGGCACCGGCAGCAGCGCGCAGAGCCGGCAGTCTGGGCTCCGCCTGGCGCGGCGGCTGGATTTGGCCGCGGGGGAGAGCGGCGCTGCTGGCGGAGAAGCCGGCGGGTTCCGCAGAAGTAGTGGTGGTGGCGGCGTCCGCGAGCAGCCCCGCGGGCGCAAGCAGCGGCGGATTCTACCGAGCGAGGATGAGGTGAAAGCCGCTGCCGCTGGCCACTTGGGTGGCCACGTGGCTGGCCAGTTTGGTAGCCACGTGGCTGGCCAATTGGGTGGCCACGTGGCAGGCCACGCTGCTGCCTTCAGCTTGGGCACAGCAGGAGGAGGAGCAAATGCAGGATACAGGGGAGGAGGAGGGGGAGGAGGGGGAGGAGGAGGGGGAGGAGGGGAGGGGCTGTCTGGGAAGGAGTCTCAAGAGGATTAACTAATGCTGCTGCTGATCTGGACGTTCTAAGGCATGGGAGTGACTTGCACTCTCAATTAGCCCACCTGCTGCACCACAACGCCGCTGCTGTCATGGCTGCCACTGCAGGCACTACTGGTGCTAACCCAACCTCTGCTGCTGCCGTCCCCCCAGCAGGCAACGCAATGGGGTTTCAAGGAATGGGTTTAGGGGGGAATGCTGTGGGCTTTACCAGGCCAGAAGGAGAGGGCGGGGGGATGGAGGCTGGGGTGCTGGGTCGGGAGGTGGATAGAAGACTAATGTGGGATTTGAGTGGAGGGGTGGACGGACGGATGGGAGGTGGCATGGGAGGAGGTATGAGTGGGAGAATGAATGAGGGAATGGGGGGGGGATTCGGGGAAGGGATGGGCGGGGGAGTGAATGAGGGAATGAATAGGGTGGAGGGTATGAATATGATGAGAGGCGGCAGGATGGCAGGGCAGGGCACAGCACTACCACAAACTTCATTCATCCCCACCAATCTCAGCGCTTCTCTTTCTCTAAGCGCCGCTACAGCCGCGGATTTCCACCGTGCCGCCCCGGGTTTCTGCATGGCCGCCCCGCTACAGCCGCTGGCAGGAGGCTCTCTGGGCGGCAGTGGGAGCGGTGGTGGCGGCGGCGGCGGCGGCGGTGGCGGTGGTGGGTTGCTGTATGAGTGTAGATTTTGCGGGAAGGGATTCGCGCAGTCCCAGGCGCTTGGAGGGCACATGAACACGCACCGCCGAGGTTGGTTGGGGGGTTTGGTGGGCAAGTAAGGGGTGAGGGGAAAGAGGGGGAGAGGGAGACAAGTGCGGATTCTGCGGGAAGGGATTCGCGCAGTTACAGGCGCTTGGAGGGCACATGAACACGCACCGCCGAGGTTGGTTTGGGGATGGGGGAATGGGGAAGGGAGGGGGAGGGGAGTGGCTTATGATTTGACTCAAACTTCTCCTTGTGCTACTAGTGCAGAATTATGTTAGTGAGGAGGTTGGTGCGAAAGGAGGGAGCGTAGGAGTGGGGGTGAGAAAGGATTGTGGTGATAGGTGTTGAAAGGGTGACATTGTATGTGTTGCTTAGACAGTGTTCCTAGTTCAGGAAACATAAGGTTCTGATGTAGTGCTTGTTCTTTGTGTTTGCGTTTGTGTTTTCCTCTGTTCATTATTCTTATCCATGGCAGAGCGAGAGGCAGAGCAAATGCTCCAGAGTCAGGGAATCTTACCCCAGAGAGGTGTAAGGTGAGAGACACAGCATGACCGTTGCTGGTGTAAGGTGGGAAACACAGAATGACTGCTGCTGGTGTAAGGTGAGAGACACAACATGACTGCTGCTGGTGTAAGGTGGGAAGCACTTCATAACAACTTCGTTCCAACTTCGTCCCAACTTCGTCCCAACTTCGTCCCAACTTCGTCCCAACTTCGTCCCAACTTCGTCCCAACTTCGTCCACGTCTTCCCCCTCCTGGCCATTCGGCTTGCAGTGCTCGCCTGGGAGCGGGAGAGGCACAGCTGCTCCTGGCGCTCTCCCAGGGATCTCCCATGCTGCAGCCAGCCGCCATGGCGCAAGCAGGGGCAATTCTCGAACCAGGATCCAATACATTCCCACAGCGTTCGTTGACCAGCGTTGAACCCGACCCAGCAGCAGCTGGGGCAATGCAGAGAGAACTGCAGTGGCAAGGTCCCTCGTTTCAAAACCCCTCCCTTCACGGCCCCACCCCTCAAGAGCCCTCCATCGCTTCTCTTCTCGCGCTAGCCCAGAACCAGGCGGCAGTTGGTGCAATGCAGAGAGTAATGCAGGGACAAGGACCCTCTCTCCACCCCCCCTCTCTCCAACCTCCTCCTCTTCAAGATTTCTCTTACACCACTCTGCTGGCACAGGTTCGGAACCAGGCAGCAGCGCAACAACAGGCAGCAGCGCAACAACATGCAGCAGCGCAACAACAGGCAGCAGCGCAACAACAGGCAGCAGCGCAACAACAGGCAGCAGCACAGCAACAGGCAGCAGCACAGCAACAGGCAGCAGCGCAACAACAGGCAGCAGCGCAACAACAGGCAGCAGCGCAACAACAGGCAGCAGCGCAACAACAGGCAGCAGCGCAACAACAGGCAGCAGCGCAACAACAGGCAGCAGCGCAACAACAGGCAGCAGCGCAACAACAGGCAGCAGCGCAACAACAGGCAGCAGCACAGCAACAGGCAGCAGCACAGCAGCAAGCAGCAACACAGCAGGCAGCAGCAGCACAGCAGCTGTCATACACCACCCTCACAGGCCCAGCAGCACACACCTTCTCAAGTGCTGAGGGAAGGATCTTAGAGGCACTTGAGAACTCGTATCCAACACATGCCGTTCCAAGTGACTCAGCACACGCCGTTTTATGTGCTGAAACACGCGCCGCCCTAAGTGCCGAAGCACACGGCGTTCCGAGTGCCTCAGGGCGGGAGTCACTTCTACTGATGGATTTGGCAGCGCTGCAGGCACAGCATGAGCACGAGGTGGTATGGCAGCAGAGGCTGCTGCTGCAGCGGCAGCGGCAGGAGCAGCAGCAGCAGCAGCAGCAGCAGCAGCAGCAGCAGCAGCAGCAGCAGCAGCAGCAGCAGCAGCAGCAGCAGCAGCAGCAGCAGCAGCAGCAGCAGCAGCAGCAGGAGCGAGACCATCAGCAACAGCAGCAGGAGCAAAGAGAACGAGGAAAACTGCCAGAACAGCCGCAGCTGCAGCAGCAGCAGCAGCAGCAGCAGCAGCAGCAGCAGCAGCAGCAGCAGCAGCAGCAGCAGCAGCAGCAGCAGCAGCAGCAGCAGCAGCAGCAGCAGCAGCAGCAGCAGCAGCAGCAGCAGCAGCAGCAGCAGCAGCAGCAGCAGCAGCAGCAGCAGCAGCAGCAGCAGCAGCAGCAGCAGCAATTGGCAACAGCAGGACAAGCGGTGGGATCCAAAGAAGGAGATGGGTATGACCAAGGTCTGGAAGAGGGTTACATTGTGGGTTCGTTAGGGGTGAGGCGAAATAAAGCAGGGGAAGAACCTGACAGGAGTGAAGAGAACTTGTGGGGTGAAGGTGCGGGAGAGACTGGAGGTGGGTGGATAGAGGGCGGGGAGCGGACGGAAGGGCACAGGACGGTGATTCACTTGCAGCAGGAGAAGCGAGAGCAGGAGCAGAGACGGCAGCAGCATCAGCAGCAGCAGCAGCAGCAGCAGCAGTTGCAGAATCCGAGGCAGCAGGGTGAGAAGGAGGAACAACAGATGCAGCAACAGCGACGGCAAGAGGAGGAGGACCAGCAACGGCAGAAACAGCAGGAGGAAGAGTGGAGCCGAAAGGAGTTGCTGCAGCTTCAGGTGCTTTGGCAGCAGCAGATCTTGCATCAGCAGCTGCAGAGGCAGCAAGAGGAGCAGCAGAAACAACAAGAGGAGCAGCAGCAGCAGCAGCAGCAGCAACAGCAGCAGCAGCAGACGCAGCCGGAACAACAAGAGCAGGAGCAGGAGGAGGAGGAGGAGCAGCAGCAGCAGCAGCAGCAGCAGCAGCTGGAACGGAAAAGGTGGCAGCAGCAGGAATGGGCCCTCCAACGTCACATTGAGCAATTGATGGAGCAACATGGACTGGCACAGGCAAGGGGGATTACGGAGGACTTGCAGCAGCAGCAGCAGCAGCAGCAGCAGCAGCAGCAGCAGAAAGGAAGAGGGCAATTGCAGGAACTGGAGCAGCAGCGCCTTCTACAGCAGCCGTCACTACAGCAGCAGCCAGTGCAACAGCAGCCAGTGCAGGAGCAGGAACAGCAGCAAAATCAGCTGCAGCAGCAATTACTGCAACAGCAGCCACTTCAGCAAGGACTGTTGCAGCAGCAGCACGATGTATTGGCAAGGCAGCAGGAGGAGCAGCTGCAGAGGGTGCAGCAGCTGCAGCAGTGGCACCCTGCACAGAGGCAGCTTCAACACCACCAGCTACAGCAATTGCAGTATCTGCATCTGCAGCAGCAGCAACAGGGGCAGAAGCAGCAGCAGCAGCGGCAGGAGCAGCAGCAGCAGCAGCAGCAGCAGCAGCAGCAGCAGCAGCAGCAGCAGCAGCAGCAGCAGCAGCAGCAGCAGCAGCAGCAGCAGCAGCAGCAGCAGCAGCAGCAGCAGCAGCAGCAGCAGCAGCAGCAGCAGCAGCAGCAGCAACAACAACAGCAGCAGGAGCAGCAGCAGCAGCAGCAGCAGCAGCAGCAGCAGCAGCAGCAGCAGCAACAACATCAAAAACAGCAGCAGGAGCAGAAGCAGCAGCAGCAGCAGCAGCAGCACGACAAAGATCCGGAACAAAATTCAAACCAGAATTAGGCAGCATCTATAGGTCTCTCAAAGTTTGTTTCAGGAGTGGCAGGTCTGAACCCATGCTCTGAGGCGCCTGCAAGCTGGGGTGGGGGGAGAAGTGGGGCAGATGGGGTCTGGGTTGGAGTTTGTACGGAAGGAGAGCGGGTACGGAAGGAGAGCGGGTATTGGTCTAGCAGAATGAAGATTTGTCGTTTTTTTTTTTTTTTTTTTTTTTTTGGGTAAGCGCCTCCAACTCAGGTGCCTGGGATAGCAAGGTAGGATGGGCACAGAGTGGTGAGTGGAGTGCAGTGGTGAGCATGACATCGGCAGCAGGATGATCCGAAGTGGCAGGGTCAGCAAAAGAACCCACACAGGTGCATTTGTGCAGTGCATAGGAGTGCAGTGTGCAGGTAAGAACAGCGCATGTGACTGCAATGCACTGTTTTCATTTTGGCACCGTACACAAGCCATTCCCCACATGGTCCCACAAATCCACAGAGCCGGATAGGCATGAGATACCGATGCCCCCCCCAGGGGGTTCGGACCCCCTTTCTTTTACAAGGTGCCTCCTCCAAAGAGTGTATGCAAAAATTCCAAGGTGTGTGCCTGTGGATTTTGAGACAGGATACTGGTACTGTAGGCTGTAGCGTCATGTAGGAGGCCAGGAGCTTTTTGGTTGCAGGCTGGCATGGCATCCAATGCCATGCCTAGTTTCGACCGTTTTTGCCCCGCTCATGCGCGGGTGTGTTGCTCCAGCTCCTTTGCCATGTAGAATGGTATCATGTATCAGTACAATGTTTTGGCTGCGCAATTAAAATCTTTATGCCTCATTGTTCCACTGGGTTGTTATTGTGGATGATTGAGTTGCATTTGGCTTTCCCCCCTTTGTTAAGATGCATGAACTTGCTATTATAATGCTTCAAATACCCGTGTCGTCCAACTACCCAACCCCAAACCCTCTGGCTTTTATGACACTTTGGTTTGGCTAGGCATATGGGCTCATAGAAAATATAGGTCTGTAGAACAACAGACATGTCTCAAATTATCTCAACATACACGTCGTGTTGTACTCTGATTAGAGTTCGTGGGCTTGCCCCAATTTTGTTGCACTTAATTTTAATTAAGGACACACCCTCTCCAACGAACAACTTCACTTATTAAGACAAGACTCTTCAAGGATTCTGCGAAACAAGAGTTACACCAGTAACTACAACTTCAGTTTGCACAAAGCAGCGAGGACAATTTTGTGTCATGCTGTCCCACCAGGCAGAGCAACACCACCCCGATCCTGATGGCGCAAGCACATCACGCCACAGTAGAGGCAACAGCAGCGACCACACGCTAGCAGCGGCGATCGTGCATCAGCAATGGCGATCGCATGCCAGCAAATGCGATCGCCTGCCTGCAGAGTGTTCAAGACAGTAGACAGAAGTTTAGAACAGAAAAGAGGGCTTTGGACTAGCAGCAGCAGGATACATATAGGAAACCCTAAATTGGGCTGTACTCGCTATAGAGTACCCCACTGCAGGCTAGACAAATACAACATTCTGACACACCCCCATAGCCAAAGTGGGGTGTAATCAGCACAATAAGCAGGCAGAGCAATAGTTCACAATGATAAGCAAAGCTAGAGGCTATCACAGAGGGCAACAGGAGGAGAGACTGTGGGGGCGAGAAGATGGGAGGCGACGGTTGAAGCTGCAGACACACGGGCAACAGGAGCGCGCACACTGTGGCTACCAGTGGCAAGGGCCCCGGACTACAGGAGTAACTGGCTCCGCGCTAAGACGAGCGGCAGGAGCAACGGACCCACGGGCGACAGGCGCAGCAGGCTCTCTGGGCTACCAGGCGCAGAGCCCCGAACTACAGGCGCTGCGGACGACAAAACGGCTGCCTCCACTCAACCTCCCCCAGCTGTCCCACACCCCTTTCACACACCCCCTGCTGTACCCCTAGCACTGCTCACACGCCACCCCCCTAGTACCACTCCGACGGCTCCCACACATCCACCCCCCTCAGCGGCAGCTGCAGTAGTGGGAGACGGAGGAGGAGGAGGAGCAGAGGGCGACTCACACACCCGCCACCCCCATACTTGCCACCCCCACACCCGCCACCCCCTGCGGGACGCGCAGCAGGGAGGCGAAGGAGAAGGGGGGGGCGGGGGGGGGGGTAGGTAGGAGGCTGCGCGCGGGTCCCTGGGGGCGGCCGCGGAGGTCCCCGGGGGCGGCGAGCGGGTCCACGGAGGGGGCGCCCGGGTTGACAGGGACGGCGCGCGGGTCGACGGGGATCCGCGCGCGGGTCGACGGGGGGCCGCGCGCGGGTGGACGGGGCCGCCGCGAAGGGCGGCGGGGAGCCGCGCGCGGGTCGATGAGGAGGGACGCGCGGTCCCCGGGGTGACGCGACGGAGGGAAACCGCCGCGCGCCTCGGGGCGCACGGCGGGCAGAAAACCGCCGCGCGCTCGGAGCGCGTGGCGGGCAGAAAACCGCCATGCGCCCCGAGCGCGTGGCGGGAAGAAAAAACGTCGCGCGCCACGGGGCGCGCGACAGACAGGACAGCAGCGGAAGCTAACGGTGGGCCCACAGGCCAGGAGCGTAACCGCTCTGATAGCATGTTAAAGACATGTTAAATTGTAATGTGTTACATGTTGGTAGGCTGTAGTGGGGTAGCCAATATGGGGTACAACCCCAACTAGGGTTTGCTACTTGTACCCAACTGTTTCATTCAATGCAGGCACATTCTTGCCTAGTCCTGTTGACAAGACAGTAGACAGAAGTTTAGAACAGAAAAGAGGGCTTTGGACTAGCAGCAGCAGGATACATATAGGAAACCCTAAATTGGGCTGTACTCGCTATAGAGTACCCCACTGCAGGCTAGACAAATACAACATTCTGACACAGAGGCGATCGCGTACCAGTAGAGGCGAGCGCGCGCCAGCAGCGCGGATCGTGCCCAGCAGCAGCAATCACGGAGTAGCTGCAGCGAACGCGGGACAGTAGCGGCGATCGGGCAGCAGCAACGATCGCGAAGCAGAAGCGATCGCACAGCAGCAGCAGCAGCAGCGATCGCACGACAGCAGCAGCAGCAGCAGCAGCAGCAGCAGCGATCGCACAACAGCAGCAGAGGCGATCGCAAAAAAGCAACAGCAGCAGCAGAAGCAATCGCGCAGCAGCAGCAGCGATCGTGCAGCAGAAGCAGAGGCAATCGCATAGAAGCAGCGGCTGCGATCGCTCAGAAGCAGCAGAGGCGATCGCACAGCAGGAGCCGCAGCAGCGATCGCACAACAGCAACAGCTGCGCACAACAACAGCAACGGTGTAGACTATTAAGACGTCTCAAACAAGTAGACTATTAAGACGTCTCAAAAACCCCTTCCCCAAAACACGTCTTCCACTCTGGTGTTTTACGTGCGTCCCATGGTGACCCCTCCCCCACCCCTTCTCCCTCCCCCCTCCTTCTCCCCCCCTCCTTCTCCCCCCCTCCTTCTCCCCCCCTCCTTCTCCCCCCCCCTCTCTCCCCCCTCCTTCTCTCCCCCCCTCCTTCTCCCCCCCTCCTCTCCCCCCCTCCTTCTCCCCCCCTCCTTCTCCCCCCTCCTTCTCCCCCCTCCTTCTCCCCCCCCCTCCTTCTCCCCCCCTCATTCTCCCCCCCTCCTTCTCCCCCCCTCCTTCTCCCCCCC